GTAATAGTTGATATACTTAATCCTTTGATCATTAATTTAAATGAATTCTGTTCAATGCTGAAGGAATTTATGGTTATTATAATATTATATTATGGCTATTTTAAATAAATGTAATTATAATTTATATTATATCTAATAACTCAATCAGAAGTGTTTTTTAATTTATAATACTCACAAATATCCTTTAATTTACATTATTCACACTTTGGTTTTGGTAAACAAATTTATTAACCAAAACCTACCAATGTTTCATTTATATCTCCCCATTCTTCATGTTCAAACTCTGATTCTAGGAACTTTCTTAATTTTGTTGGAGATTTTTCTTTAAATATTGGTATTCTATTGCAAATTCTAATCATATTCACATCTATAGGTATTCCTTCAACTCTTTAAAAAGCTACTTGAATATAAAGTAAAGCTATCTTTTCACCTACACCCTTAATTTTAATAGTTTCCTCAAAGGTTTTTGGCATTCCTTTATAAATTACTAATTAGGCAAGTTCTTTAATTCTCTTTGCCTTTGTGACATTAAAATTAACTTCATAAATCAATTTAACTAATTCTGATTCATCCATATTTGCTATATCATTAATAGTATAATCTAAGAGTCTGTTAGCACATTTAGATGTTATTTCATCTTTTGTTTATGGACTCAACATCAAACTAGTTAAGATCTAAAATCTCTAAGTCTCTATATCTTTATCCTTATCAAAACATTTTTATGGCCCAACAATATCAACTGGAGCATTCCTTTCTAATCTCATTTACTTTATAATTTCATATATATTCTTTGTTCCAAAATTATCTTATTTTATTGTAGACATAGTAGCAGTCGACTATTATTTTGATAAACTCATTTTAGATTTTGATTTTGGTGACTTCTTTTCCTTAAAGAACCTATGTTCTAATATTTCATTTAATTCACTTGTAGTTGCTTCTGAAAAAGCTAGCATGATTTTTTATGTTTATCTCATTTAATAATTTAATAACTGATATATATAATCATATAAATTCATCATCTTCCGATTTCCATACTTCCTCATCTGAATCCATATTGAATTACATTTTCATACTAAATCTATAAAATCCAGCCAACCCTCCAAATCCTTTATAAAATTGATAACCTTCAGCACTATTATCTGAAATCAACTATAATTCTATTCCTTTTAATCTATAATTTTCTGCTAAATATTCTACAAGATCTTAACATGAAGAAACAATAAATTGCTCTCCTTTATTGTCTTCCAAAATACTTCCTTATGTATATACATCCAATCCTTTAAGATACTTTATTGATTTTACTAATTTATATAATAAAAGTTACATCCAGTTTATTTGCTGATGCATTCTACTATAGAGTACTCCAATGTTTAAATACAGATCACTTACTTTATCAATTCTTGTTCAATAGCTTTCATTGTATCAACTATCCCATACACTACCATTCCATTATCAAGATCAAGACTCAAAAAAAATTTAGATACTAAATCTTTTTCTCTTAAAAGTTTCTAGTTTTATAATACTTCTGAGGAATTCTATATTGCTAAATTAAAACCGTTCTCTCCTCCATAATTAATATCTACTATTGATATTATTAAGGGTTGCAATCTTTTATCCAGTAAGGGAGACTCAGCTAATTTATTCTTGAAATCAGCTATCCCTCCTAATACTAAACCTTTAATAATAGGTTTATCATCATAAATAAAACAATTTTTAGCTTGCTCACTAACTTTTATCAAATAATTGTGTCTTGCCCAATATCTGATTCTAGAGAATCTTAAAGATGATTGTCCTCCTTTGTTATGTTTCTTAGGTAAATCTACATTAAATTATTTGAGTATTTCTTTGCTTATTCCTTATACTGTTCCAAATAAAGCTCCATTTCCATCCATTATGATAAATCCATATATTGGCTCTAATTTTAATAGGGGTTCCAATTATTCAACATGAAAATAGGTATCACAATAAAACAAGGAGAGTTATAAAGATCTAAATGGTTCTATAACATATGCTATCTTTTTCTATCCTTTTTCAAATTCTGCTAATCCTGAAAATAATACTAATCCTGATTCTGGGGCTTTATTGTATTTCTTTAATCCTACTCTATTAAAATTTATTAATACTTAAAATAGTTCCTGAAATTGAATCTTATACTGCAATCCGATTTACCTTATCTTATATTGATGCAGCTTCAGAATATTGGCTATTTAATCTACTTGTGATTTCTGATATTATTTTTTTTGGGGGTATGTACAAAGATACTGCACTTGTTCCTATCACTTTTAATTTATTCAAACTCTTTATAATCTTAGACAATCTGAACTACTCAATTTCTAATTCCTATTCTTTAATTTGATTTTAATTCATATATTTTATCTATTTATCTCTCCATAATCTAATTTATGAAAGAAGTAAAAAAAAAAAAGATTTTATTGTTAAATTCTGGCACTATACTTAATTTTAATCAGAATTTATCAATAAAATTAATTATAATTTAGTTTAATTTATGTATTTTATATATATTATAAATAGATTAAACTATTATTCTAAATTTAATTCAATAATAGAATTTTATTCCTACTCTCTAAAAAATAAAATTATCATCCCTCTTTTTGAATAAAATAGAAAAATTGAGAAAATGAAAATTCATGCTGTGTGTATGATCTGTCTAATTGTACTAAGTATTATGCTATTTGATTATCTAACGCTGGAAAGATCATTTCTAAAACTCCGTTATAATATTATCTCCTAAGTATAGATAACATACACTCTTTTTTGCCAGAATTTATTTGCTTATTCTCAGATAACCATTTAGAAGAGTGATTCTTATGTTACATTATAAAATGGTGGTATTTGGTAGAGCTGATGAAGGAGAACTAGCACCATCTTCAAAAAAAGTTTTAAAGAAAAAGAAATTCCTTACATCTTTAAGAGATTATGAACCTTGTGCACCTATTAAATAGTAAGATTGTTTTCGATAGGCTTAAACTCCTAGTGCATAATCTTTTACATAATACTAGAAAACCTAATATATTGCTCATCATTAAAGAAAATTAATTAAAAGGCTAAATACATCTTAAAAATAGGAAGATCCATATAAGAGGATTAGGTAACTATCTACTCCTTTTTATAAAAAATGATTATTTTAAAGAAAATATATATATTTCAATTTTTCAATATACTCATTCATAATATTATATTTGATAAATCATACTATTATTATTATTATGGTTATGGATCATTTAATCCTATCAAATCAATAGTTTCTTATTGTTGATGTAGTGGTAATTATTATGATTATATTTATGTGCTTTGAACTCCAAATTATTATTAACTATTCCCAACCCAGAAATTCATAGATGCTTGAGTTGATTAATGAGATTACTCAGTATTATTAGTGGTTATATCCCAAGCACTATTAACAGGAGATGTAGAAAATGAATTAATTTACATTTATTGTACTTATTATTATTATTATTATTATTATTATTATTATTATTATTATTATTAAGGTTAATTAAATTATGTATCCCATTAAAAAGGATTTGGACTTGGAGAATGAGATGTTTAAACAAAACCAAAATTATCAAAAGTTTGTACATTTGTTTATTATTATTAAGTTGTCCATTAATTAGAATTATCCCAAACGTTATTGACACTAAAACTTTATTATGGATTATTAAATTGAGCAAATATATCTTATTATGATTTTGATTATGATGTTTATTATTAATTAAATCCTGAAAATTAATTAAATTATTATTATTATTATTATTATTATTATTATTATTATCTTTATACATATTATGATTAAGGTTATCTAATTTATTATTATTATTATTATTTAACTGAAGATTTTTCTGTTTAGATTTTTTTTTGTAAATTCATTAATTCATCAATTGGAATATCACCATCAAATTTTTTAACTTTAAAACTATTTTTATTATATTATTCCATTTCTTATTCCAATTTCTATTCTCTATTTTTAATTTCTATTGCTTAAGCCTAAAATTTGCTTCAAACTAATACATTCAATTATATGTATGGTAATGAATGAAATTAAGCAAGAATTCTTTCAACATCAAAAATTGATGGTCTTAATTTTGGATCAGGAGTAAGCATAAGTCTAATAAAATCAATCAATTTATCTGAATATCTATGCTATTTTGGTATATTATATGTAGCAGTGGAGATAGCTAATTTTGAACTCTCTTAAAATGGATGAATGAAAAAACACAAAGTATATAATACACATCCAAGCATCCAAACATCAGCTTTCACTCCTACTTCATATCTCAAAAACAAATCAGCCATTTCTGGAGGTCTATACATTAATGTTGTGTTTTTTTCCCATTCTTCTTCATAAATTACAAAATCAGATTATCTGATTTGACTATCATAAATACATCATAAATTTAACCTTAAATCTACTCTTTGAGTACTAGCAGATCCAAAATCACATAATTTACATCTTCCATTTTAAAATAACACATTCTCTATTTTAATATCTCTATGTGCCATTGATGGTTGTAAAGTATGCAAAGACTTTATACCTTATGTAATTTCCTAAAAGAATTTCTATTGATCAATAAATACTTTCATATAGCCCAAAAGCTATTCTTCTGGAAATCTTGAATTTGGATCTTTTGCCATTAAATCAAATAAACTTCCTCCTCCACAAAATTCCATTAAAATCAAACATACTTGTTATCCTTTCTCTTAAATAAATGTGCCTCCCATAAAATTAACCAAATTTGGATGTCTTGGTAATCGTTTCTAGTTAAAAATTTGAATTTTATATACCATAATTTCCAATTCATTCCTTGCTACTTTAGTTCTCTCTTCTCCTTAACAATAAGATTTTTTCAATGCAAAAACCTCCTTAGTATTCACATCTATTGCTTTTAGTATGTACCCATATCCACCTTCAGATAATAATTTTTCTTCTTAAATTGTACGCCCATTAATGTTATATCTAGATAGCATATTAAAATTTATAATCATTCGCATTCACTCCAATTTGATTATTAGAATCGCTCATTAAAATTTGCATAGTTCCTATTACCTCCAGACCTAGCTGTACTAGTATAAAATCCTTTAGAACTAGTAGTTATATCTGTATTTCTAATTTAGGAAATGATGCATTATACTTCCTTAAATTTATCATAAAAGTCTTTAGAGGTAATTGCATTTTTGCAGGTCTTTTTCCTTTATATTTACTGGAACTTCCATTTGAAACGTCGTCAGATAAATTATTATAACTTTTTGGAGAATACTCTTCACAAGAGCAATTATGAAAGTTCTCAAGTAACCGAAACTCATCCCTGTCTTCTAGATATTGAGTCATAGCCATTCCAATTCTTTCGTCTCTCTAAATTACCAAATCTATATGATGATCTGTTTTTTCAATTACCTTTTAATTTTCCTTTCTAAAACTCATTTATCTGATTGCCTTTACATAACATGTATATTTTATAAAATAACTTTCCCTCTACACTTTCTATCTACTCCATTTATTAATAATATAATATAAAAAAATATTTATTATCTTCATGAACTACAAAATTCAATTAATTGATTATTTCATAACATAACATGTAAAGAACTATAAATAAAATAATGTATCTTATCTTAAAAAGAACTTATAAAGAATAAATAACCTTATTTTAATGAATATTAACATATTATTATTTCAAATAATTAAAATCCTATTAGAAAATAATTACTTTGATAAGACTAGAAAAATATATAATAAATGAAAACTAGTAATTAATTATTATGAAATTAAGAATATTTTTAAGAAATAATAATCATTATTTTTTGCCCTTTACCCATTTGCCTTCGATTACATTTCCATTTGGTTCAATTAACTTACCTATACCATCTTGTTTCCCATTCTTCCAATAACCTATATATTTCTATCCATTTGGCCATCTTAATTCTCCTTACCCATCCTTTTTATCATTTTTGAATTCACCTTAACGATTTAATAAATTTAATACCAATATACTCCTTACCATCATAACATAGTGTTCCTTAACCTTCCATCTTACCATTAACCCAATTGCCTTTGTACACTTTTCCATTGTACCAATAATATTCACCATATCCATGAAAATTTTCATTCAAAAATTCACCCTCATAATGTGAAGAATCACACCATTTAAAAACACCCTTTTTAACTTTTTTTCCTTTTTCAAAATAGCCTTCAAATTAGGTTCCGTTATCCCAGATAATTTTACCTTTTCCATCCTAGATTCACCTTAACAATTATACAGGAAGTCCATCTTTAATTTCGCCATCGTATATACCTCCATCTGGAAAAGTATAAGGTACTTGAGAATAACAAGAGCCCATAATTAGAAATAAATAATCAATCGAATTTATATTCAATTAAATCAAGTAGCTTAAGTTTGTTTTTATTGAATAGTCTAAGATCTTCTTAATCAGCTGCCTCCATTAAATAAGTAGCCAAATATTTGAGTTCCTAATCATTCATGTCATCATACCATTCTAGTATGGGTATTCCATTTTCAATCTAAAATCCAAATGAATGAGCAAGATTATCAACAATAAGCATATTCTTAATATGTTTATTTGAAATAATTCTAAGATCCTTAATATAAAATCCATGTTTAGTTTCCAAACAATTCTGTCTTGATAAAATTCCTGATATCAATTATCCTTTAGGATCCAAGTATTTGACAATAGTACTAGCATAAGCACTTGATGAGGCAGTATATACATAGAGAGTATAGAGTAAACTCATTTATTATAAAAACCATTAACAAAATGGTCGAATATTTAAATATATCTAAAAATTAGAAATATAGTATTACTTTTGCTTATTCTCCTTATTCATTAAATGCAAGTATACAAATTTAATATTTATCTCTAGCTGAACAACTATGAATTAAAGTTTCATCTAAATCTAAAAGTAAGGTTTTTGATTTAGGAATTTTAGCATCTGGTAATATTAAAGTTTTGGATTTAATATATTTTTTACATGGTTCCTTAAGATTACGAGTAGCATAAATTAATCCTCTTTATGTGAGTTATAAAAATTTGTTGAATGTATTTTCACAAATTAATGGACCATATATAAGATGACGAAAAGGATGATTAGATAATTTGCATTATTATTTGTTTGTTGAATATTCTATGTCAGAATTAACATTTCTCTACAATTTGCTATGATTATAAAAATGTTACACTAAAAAAATCTAATCATTATTGTACTATTTCATCTTCCATTAAAGTTTACTTGTTTTATTTGTTATGTAAGTTGGATCTTCATAACTACTTTGAGTTATATCTGTTTGAACATCATCTTCTCGTTCTTCTTCAGCACCTTCAATATCACCTTCTATTGAATTCACTAAATTCCTAAATTTTGACAATTTTTAACCTACATAAAATTTAATTTTTACTTGTTGGTCCTCTTTTATTATCTCTTTAAGAATCTTTGTCTGAATCATCAGTTTAATAACCTGTTATGTTTTGACTAAAATGTGACATCTTACTGGGTGGTTTACTGATTTATTTTAAGTAAAACTGTTAATTCTATTTAGTTTCAGATGATTCATCTTCAGAATAAAATTATTTATCATTATTCAAATGTTATAAATGCTAGATTGAAGTATTAGCTCTAAACTTATAAATATTATCCATTTAATTAATTATTATTATGGATTTTAAATATATTGAAGAATTTGATTACTTAGACAAAGATCAAAAAAGTCAAATGCTATTTAATCTTAAATCTTATATTAATTAATTGCAATCTTAAATTCAAGAATTAGAAAGAAGTGCAGTTGAGATTATTATAGAAAAAGATGAAAAAATTTTATAGTTAGAGACCTTTCTTAATTAAGAATCACCATCCAAACAATACAAAAAAGATGAAGAAATATTATAATTGAAAGTGTATTTTCTAATATTTATTATAGTCATATAAAAGAACTCTATTAAAAGATTGATGCAGATTAAATTTAACATTTCTAAGAATTATAAGAAATGGATTAAAAATGGAATACATATTTATTAGATTAGATTCAATAAAGTAGTTAAGATGGACAACAAGAGAAAATTGAAATTTTAGAATCATTGCTCAATCTTGAAAAAAAAAATTAGAAGTATGATCAAGAAGTATACTTTAAGGTAAATTCTAGTTGAAAATAAAAGAAAATTAATCAATGATTGATAAAAATACAATTAGTTAACTTATAAATAAAATCTAATATTTGCAAACTGAATCTTAAGAACTCAATCAATAATAAATTAAAATGTAAAGGGAAAACAATTTATTACGTGAACATTTTCAATCAGATAGAAATATACTAGAATTAAAAATAAATGTAAGTTTATCTATCTATCTTATCTAAGAAATTAAATATCATACAAAATTAAAAAGAAAAATAAATCTAGAATCTAAAAACTCAAAATACAAAGTTCATTTAAAACAATAAAGACTTATTAGTATAAATAAACGAATTATAAGAATTACTTGAAGGTTAAATTGAAATAAAAAATTAAAAACATTCTGAAAATCATATCCTATAATAAACAGCAAATACTATAAATTAGATATAAAAAGAAGAAGTCAATATTACAGCATTCGAAATCCTAGAAGAAAGTTATGATGAAAAGGATTAGATGAATAATTTAAGATAAATTTTAGATGAAAAATAAGAATAGCTTGTTCAATATGAAGAATGTATTAGATAATCTACAAAATAGATAAAGGAACAAAGAGCACAATTACAATTATTATAATATTAACTTAAATAAATAAGATCACAATAATTTAATCAAAAAAATCTTAAAGAATATATTTAAGCTTTAGAAAGTGATTTCCTAGTTTCAAAATAATTATTAGCTGAAAAAGCAGATCGTTATTAAGAATAAATGATATATTTGACTTAAGAAAATTACAATCTTAAACAAAAAATTAAATGCTTCTAGTCAAGGTATTATAAGAAATCGAAATCAAATATTGATTGAATTCATTATTTTATAATTTACTTTATATATATATATATAATTATAATAAATAAATTTAATATTAAATATTATATATTAATACGAAGATTATTATTTCAAGTAATCTTATTTTCAATTTTATTTCTTTTTTGGTTTCATATTACTGGTATCATATTAGCTATTCTAAATATCATAATCTAAAGCATCTTAAAGGGATTATAGCAATTAACTGTCCTCATCATCTCCTGCTTATTATTTTAATGTCTATTATTTAGCTAAAGTTATAGCATGTTTTGTATTAAACTTCATCAAAACTAGTGGATTATTTTATTATTATTGAGATTTAGGAATATCTTTGTTATTAGAAAATGTTCGAATAATTTCCAGTTTTATTTCACTTTGAACTTTTAAGTATTATTTTTTTAACTCTTCACTTATAATCATTTCTTCATCTTAAATAATTTATGTATATATTTTTTAAGTTTTTGATTTTTTTCCTAAATTTTATAATGTATGGTAAGTTCGACAACACAATTCAAGACCTTTTTACAAAATCTATTCATTTTTCACTAAATTTATATTGTGTTCAAAAAGATCCTATAAAGAAACCTATAAAAACTGCTAGAAATTATTGAGAATCTCACTTGGATATTTCTTGTCTAACTGATAAATTGGTTCTTCTAATTTCTTTAAACTAATAATGTCAAATCAATTCATACTCAACCATAAGAAAAGAGCTTTTATCATCGAGACCATTTATGTCTTATCTTTAAACCTTATTTTACGTTGTATCTGAACACCCAAATTGTTATCTTTTTATAAAATCAAGTCAGATAATTCTTCCCCTAAGAGATATGATTTTATTGCTTCCTCGTCTGTGATCTAATCATCAAAATTTTCTTAATTTTCTTAATTTTCTTTTATTTCCACTTATTCTTAAGCATCCTAATTAGATTATTTTGGATATTCATCTATCTCCTCTTATTTTTAAGATGCTGGTTGCTTTTGACCTGAATTAAGGTTAGTTTCAAGCTCATTTTAAATTGGTTTTGGTTGAGTAATTTTGTTGTTCTACTTAGCTTAACTTGAACAGGTTCCCATTTTTTATAAATAAAATATTATTGCAAATCTATAAAAACCAAGAATTAAGCTTGTATTGTAATTATTAAACATAATCTAATAATAACCATAAGTATAAATAATAAATTAAGATGACTATTACTTCAAACTATATTTCTTCAATTAATTTTTATATATTAATCATGTAACATGAATAGGATCCACAACTATCATTGAAATTGTAATTTTTATAGATAATTTTCTTATTATTTCTTATGGAATATCATTTAGAAAGAGATCTTAATTATAAATATAGAAAAATTTGATAAAATGTTTTTACTCTAATAAAGTGAAATTTTTAATAAAATAATTAATTTCTAATTGGAATAATTAGGATTATAATTGTTATCTAATATAATAGAATCTTTAGAAATTAATTTTTTAATTGCTACAATAAATGCGTTTTTTAAAATATTATATTAAGTTAACTTTATTATTTGAAATATTTTTGCATAATTTAAGTAAAATTTACAAAATGACTTAATTTTTCTATCTTTATATATGTTTTTAATAATATTCGTATCAGATTTTATTAAATGTAAAAAAAACATTGTGATTTAATACTTAATGAGAAAGGATCTCTATGGTTAGGAAATTGTGAATCAGCACTTGATGCAGTATAAATGTCTTTGATTTTAGGAGTTCTTAAAAGATAAAGGAATAAGAACTGTGATAACCGTAGCTGTAGGATTATAATTAAAACTTAATGGATTAGTGCATCATATAATAGAGATATTTGATAGTGATACAGCAAATATTTCATAACATTTTTAAATTGCAAATGAATGGATAGAGAGAGGATTTAAGATTGGTGGTGTATTAGGTAGTAGATATATATTTAAAGAAGCTAAGTTCATTGTATGGCAGGTATCTCCCGTTCAGCAACAATTGTTATTAGTTACTTAATAGAAAAAAAGATGATGAATTTTAATTAAGCTTTATCTTTTGTGAAATCTAAAAGACCCTAAATTAATCCAAATAAGGGTTTTAGTAATTAATTATAAGCATTTGTTGCAAAAGTCTAATAACCTCCATTGGCTAAAAACAAAAGAGCCAATAATTTCTAACAAAATCAAGAATATTATGATTGTAATTATTATGCTCCAATCAATCGAAAGGGGTCTGCTGGAATTTTACAATAAAATATAAACTTTTATAAATCCATAACTAAGTCAATATCATAGAGTAGGAATAAAAATAAATGAGTTAAATATATTCATTTCAACTATTTAAAACAAATCTTCTTTAAGTATGAATGTTTACACACTTAGGAGACCTTTTCGGGGTTAAATCTAAATTTCTGGATAAACTTAATTATGATTTGATAATTAAAGAGGGAAGTGTTCTTTGTTTTGGTAATTGATATTAGATAGGAGAGTTATAGCATTCCATGTATTTACGACTCTGTGGAACAATTTCAAATAATGGATTTTTAATTGTTAGATTCTTTGGACTTTATGTTTGTAACATTTTAAGTAATTAGTTTTGTAATTTGTTCCTCTTAATGGAATGACTTGGAGAGGAGGATTCTAATTTCTATTTACTACTAATGTAATGAGAATGCGGAGATATTTGTTATCTCATAAATTAATTAAATGAGAAAATAATAATAAGAAGAAACAGAAGAAGACTAAGCATCTCTATTACCTATAAAAAATCATATCAAAAGAATTGAAGTAGATGTTTGATTTAGGTCAATATTAGGAAATGTTGGTGTTATTAAATAATGATCTTGTAAATGATGATAAGGATATCGAAAAGAATAGACAAGATATCCGTAATTTAGGAGAAGCTCAAAATAAGGAAAGAACAGAATTACATAATTCATTACTTGATCATTGTCATAAAATTGTAACTGATATGCGAGAATTAAATTAACAATCAAAAAGTGAAACATATAATCTTAAACAATAAGTAATCAACTAATCTATTAAAAAGCTTTCATGTCTAAACCAAGATAAGATTAGATTATAATAAAATTTAATTGTACTCGAAAATAAAGTCATAGAAACAGATAAAGACATAGGCTTTAAGCGTAGAAATCAATAATTAAATAAAAAAAAATGAATTAAGAGTTATAGTCATAGTTAATCAAAATGCTCTGAGGTTCTTCTCAATAATTCAACTTAAAATTCTCCTACTTCATTTTACTTCTATTATTCATTTAATAATTCTTCACAACATCCCTATTACTTTGATTTTATATCATATAGGTTGATAATCTGAATTAAATCTTATGGAACATAATGAACATGATTGTCCCAATTATTCCAATTTAATTTTTAAGGATTAACTATAGATTCATCCTCTATAGGAACAATCAAAGGGTTTTTACTCCTTGGCAAGTATTGCTTCTAAGTTGTTATTTCTGAAGATTATAATATCTCATCACTTTTCTTTATATCCACTATATCACAATCATCAAAACTTTTCATTGACTTTTTTTATTATCTCTTATGAAGCCAAGGATGTAAAACAAAATCTTTAAAAATTATTATTATTTATAAACCTTCAGCCGATAATCTTTTTTCTGGATCTTTCTTCAATAATCTCTTTAATAGATCTTATACTAAAGGATTCAATACTTTAAAGGCTGCTGTATTTTTTACATTTATTTCTGAATCTCTTATCATCTCTATAGTATCTAAAATAGTTTCCTATTAAAATGGCAATTATCCAACTAATAATTAATATAAAATTATGCCTATTGACCAGATATCAACTAAAAATAGATTCAATGTTACCTTTTTCATTGTATCCACCTCCTAAGAATATTTCAGGAGCTTAATAAAATAATGATCCAGTTCTTGTCCACATATTTATTTTTTTAGTTACTTTTCCTTTTACTAAAAACCTTTTTGAAACCCCAAAATCTATTAATTTTAATGACAAATTATTTCCAATAAGAATATTATCAGGTTTTAAGTCTCTATGACAAATTCCTCTTTAATGTAATTATTTAATTGATTGAGCTAAATTTAATGCTATTATTTAAATATCTCCTAATTTTAATTTTCCAATTCTTTATTCTAAACTCAAATATGGACAATATTCCATAACTAAATGATGTTCTTCTTTTTTAGAATTTATAAATAGATCTAATGCTTTAACAACACAGTTTAGATCATTAAGTGCTCTATTTATATGAAATGTTTCTCTGATTGTATTAATTATTTCTGTATCCCCAGTTCTAAAGATTTTAACGGCATAAGTTGTTCTTTCTGAATTATTCTAATTGATTTAATCTCGCTTATAACATGTCTTTACAATCCCATGTGCTCCTTCACCTAATGATAAATATTCAAATAACCAATCTGATGATGGCCATATTCATAAACATCACTAAAATGTCTAAATTATTAATTTGTGCTTTTTTGTTGGTTATTTTCTATTGGTGGAGAAGAATTTAAGGGTGTTAGATTAAATTTCAAATTTCTTTTCTTTTAACTAAAAAGTGTATTCTTTAAAGAATCTCTAATAGTCAATTAATTCTGCCTATTCATTTAAAAATAAAAAAATTAAATATTTTCTTATGAAAAACAGAGTTGGCTTAATGAAATTTCTAATAGTTAAAAAGCCTTATGGTGGTCATTAATTTTTTAAAAGTTTAATATTTAAATATCATCTTTAATTCCATCTATTATTTATTCATCTCAAATTTATATATCTTATTTTTTCATTTATTGTAATGGTTTGAATATAATTCCCTAAGATTCTAAACGATTTCAGCAATTTTAATATTTTTTACATTTTACCTAAGTAATTGTAATAGACATAAAAGTTAACAAAAATATCTACCATAAATCTCTTACCCTTTCTCTTGCTATAAATTATTATCATTCAACAAAAAGTTTTACATTTAATTTATTTTTATCTTTTATTGAAGAATTTTTAATTTGAAAATATATTCTATTTTTAAAAAATTCAATATATTAGATATTATAAAATCATGTACATATTTTGTATTTTTTTAAAGCTAATTAAATATGTAGTAATTTTAATTTATTTATATAATAGATAGCCTTTTATAAATGGACTAGTCATGCATTCTTAGTATATTAAAATTATAATCATATAATTCATAAATATATTTTGAATAATAATAAATTTTTTTCAATCTCATAATTAGATTTGACCATCTTTAAGTTAATTCTCAAAATTAATAATGTTTTGACGATTTAAATCGCCATTAAATCTCAGTCTAAATTATTAATTATTTTAATCGTGAAATTCTAATACTTCAGAAAAGTGCTAGAAAAGTTCATATCTTACCAAAAATAAATGTGGAAAATAATTAGTATTATTTATGATTTAATATAGTTGTGGTAGCTAATTGTGCTGATTTTAAAGTTATTCATAATAAGATTGAAGAATTGTTTATAATAAATTAGATTCTTAAAATTAAGGAAAAGCTTGTATTCTTTATATCTAAAGCTAAAATGAATATATACTTATTAATATTTAAATTAGAATATAAACGGTAACAAAATATCCAAATGGATGGGCTAAGATAATACTCTATTTTCTAATAGTTCAATCATTTCTTGCAAAAATAAAATTTTATAATATTCCCAAAGTTAATTTATTTAAATCTAACTTAAATTATTTGCTAGAGCATTAGCATAAAAACTTGGTTCTATAGATTCTCCTACAATGATTGACATTGTACTTTTAAATTCCGCAATTTTTTAAATAATTTTCTAATATTATTCAAATTATTCTTGAGCACTATTGAATTCATATTCATTTATTAGTGATTATAAAAATTCTATTGTATTATTATCCAAAATTTCATCATTTTCTTATTAATTATAACTAATTAATTCTTTTCCAGTTAATAGAATATATAAAATTTTTCCCATTTACCTATTTTAACATCTACATATTGGATTAGTTTGATATATATTAATAAAAAATCTGCAATAATTTTGATATCCCTTACTAATGAATACATTATGAGGACAAGGAGGAGGCAATGGGTTATTCATTCCTATATTTATCTAAATATCTCTAAGTTCCAACAAGAATTTTTCGAAGCTTATCAGATAATATGCACTACTACTTTCTGTTTTTCTAAATTATGGAGCTCCTAAACAAGGAGATATAATAATGACGCAGTAATTTTCGAATAGATATTATTCAACAACAGGTCTGCTAGATTGAGGCATATTATTTAGTATTGATTATTTTTAATTAAAATCTAGCCTAGTCAAAATTTAACAAATAGATCTCATAAAATATGAATTTTCATTGTAATATCCATAAATATTTTTAAAGAAAAAGAATTCTTAACTTTAGTAATATTATTACAGATTATTTCCACCTTCTAATAAAAAATATAAAATTCCGCAAATCATATATTTCAATTAATCCCTTTATGGTAAGCTCACAAATACATTTTTTGGGCAAAGCTCACAATTCCGAGGCTAATAAAATATTTCATTTATTTGAGGATTTAATTCAATTTAAACAGTATGAGGGCAAATAAAAATATTGTGACAAGAATAATATTATTTTGTTTTTGAAATTGTAGACCAGAGTAATGAGTAAATTTTATCTATTGAGAAGTTTATTGGATCTGCTTGAATCAAATAAATTCTTTAATCCATAAAATTTATTAAATATATATATATATATATATATATATATTTATATAAAAGACTTAAAGATCATTAAAATGCATAGATAAAAGAATTGTTATCTAATATTTAATTTTATTTGATTATGAATTTTATTTCAATTTGATTTATTCTAGTTTTCTTTTGTATATTTCTTTCTCAAATATTTAACAGATTCTTAAGTACCCTTTGATGCTACATTAAATACTCTAGTCCAATAGTTAGGCTCATCATCTTGCTTCATTTCATTTTTGACTGGAACATAAATCTCTTTATGAAATGTTTAATGAGTATCATCATCTACATTATAGGTTAAGTAAAATCCAACACTCATCCCTGCTAATAAATTTAAAATTGAGCTTGCCATTAAAATAATTTATTATTAAAATGAGCAATAAAAGATTAAGCAATTCATCATAATAACAATAATAATAAAAAAAGCCAAGCTTCAATGATTAGCCAACTGTAATACCAACAAAAGAGGATGATAAAAAAAGTATGAATGGTAGTTAAATAAATGATTCTCAGGATGGAGCATAAAAATAATAACAATCCAAATTTGATCTTCCTTAAATTCCTAAATTTTAGAGTCTACCTTTAAGAGATTATTTTGATAATAATTTAAGTGCAATATTATTAGAAGGGTTAAAAGAAGTTGGAAGATAGAGGTAACAGTTTTAATTATCAAAATTATAGACCTGAAAATCCAATTCGATTTTTAGGAGAATATTTGCTTGAATAGGATAAATAAAAATGAATATTAGATTAAACAAATCAGCTTTAAAATATAATATTAAAAAAATATATTTTTTAATTCACTTTTTCTTGCTTGTTTTTTTATTATCTTATTTTTATTATTCTTTTGGCTGTTCTTTATTGATATCATTTATTTTGTTTTGTTATTATTATTATTATTATTATTATTATTATTATTATTATTCTTGCTGCTTTTATTATTATTCTTATTATTTTTATTATTCTTTTTACTCTTCTAATTTTAATTCCTTTAATATAGATTAATCATTCTGGTTTTATTTTTTTGTGTCTTTTTTTTAATTTTAAACCTATCCTTTTTTATTATTATTTTATTATTGTTATTAACCTTATCCTTATTATTATTGTTAATTTTAAGTTTGTTGTTACACGACCTATTCTGGTTCTTATTTCTAAGCTTTAACTTCTTATTTAGGTGGAGATGACTAGATGTTTTATTACTTCTTTTCTCCTTTTGTTGGGGATTAATCAACTTTTTCAATTTGTTAATTTTTCAAATCTATACTCTATTTTCCTATGCTATTTCTTTAAGCTGGTTCTTAAGAAAGTGATTAATGTTATAATTCTTTTCTCTTTTATTCTTCTCTAAATGCCAATTCATACTTTGAAACTTCTTCTAAATTCTTTTGTTCTTTTTCTTGCATCTTTTTAAGATATTTTTCTAAAATGAATTCTAAATATACCATGTGCTTCTTTAGCAGCTTAATTAGCTTTAGTTTATATGTTATCATTTTTTAATTTTTTTTCATATTTCAATATTGTTTGAGCAGAAAATTCATAAACATTTCCAGTTGGTAATCCTTTCTTGCATAATTACCTTAGTAAATCTTTTATATTGATATATTTTACATTCATATGCTTCTTGTAAGCCTGAAGCCTGAATGACATTTTATTATTTCTCATTTTATAATTATTTAGACATGTAATTATTATTTATTATAACATATTTTATGTTGAATTTTTGGAAGACTATAATTAATCAAGTAAAAACTAATTTAAAAAGAATTTTGACTTTTCATATTAATTCGATCCTTTTTTATTTTATATTTTATTAATTCCCATTTGATAAACTAAACTAATAAATAATTTTATTATACATATCATGAATTAGTAAAAGACAGAACTAGATCCAAAAGACTAGATTTTAAACATTTCAAAAAATAAAGCTGTAGGGCAGTATATTTTCTTATCAAAAATATTCTTAAATAAGTTTGGATAGTTGAGTTTACATGCTCTAGGAGATGCAACAAAAAATGTTATATCTATAGCCTAGGCACTTGAAAGAAAAGTTAATTCACAAATTATTTTAATAGAAATATGCAAAAATAATAAAAATAGAGACCCAAACCTTTATACCAAATGAATAACCTGGAGGGAAGAAGATTAAATTGATTGCTTAATTAGAAGTCACCGAAGAAGGAAAGAAATTAATCATAGAAGAATTGGAAAAAAGAAGGAAGCCTGAATAAGTTGCTTAAGATATAAATTAATGAAAACCAAAATACAATATTTGTTAACAAAAAAAGTTATTTATATTATTATTTTCCATTTAGATCTCATATTAAATATCAAAAGTCTTTTTCCCATCCTTAATCTCCTTAATTTTGCCCATCCATCTATCTTACAGCTTATTCTTACTATAAATTAGTTAAATATATATATTTATATACTTTTATTTCTTCCTCAATCATCTTGCCATTTTATTCTAGAGATTTTATTTCTAATTCTGGTAATAATTTATCTGCGGGTGGTAAATAAGGAGTCTTTATTTCTTTTTCTAATAATTTTTCCTAAGATATAATAATTTTATATACCCAATCAAAGTTTTCAAACCAAGGATTTCCCTTAAGGGAAGCATAAGAACCTCCCAATCTGACCTCAGGAACACGAGAAAGTAATCTAAAATTATTAAATTTTAATACTAATCCATCAGTTTTTTGGCTTTTTTGTCTTTTAAATAATTTGGATAGGTAATATCTTTTTTAATAATTTCCTCATAAATTTCATAAGGATCCTCTGCTTCCTCTCCAAAAGGCACCATTCCACACATAAATTCATATAAACAAATGCCAATAGACCACAAATCCACTAAACAATTGTAGCCCTTACCACAGATTATTTCAGGAGCCATATCTATAATGTAATTTCAATAAATTACAATGAGGAGTTCCAATAATTGTATATGTACGAATAATTCCTTATTTTCCTTTTATAATTTTAGCAGTTCCTAAATCAATTAATTTAAGAAATCCTTTATCATCAACCATAAAGTTTTCTGGTTTGATGTCTCTATAAATAATATTTTAGTGATGCAAGTATTCAGTTATTAAAATCATTGAGGCAACATAAAATTGAGAGTCATAAGTAGATAACAATCCTATGAATATATATAAAATAAATATACCAATATCTCTTATAACATCAAATAATTCCATTCCTCGAACATATTCTAAAAGAAAATAGACATCCAAGGTATCTTTGAATGTTTTCATGAAGGATATAATAAATGGAAAATTAACTATTTCTAATACTTGTTTCTCTTATTGTAGGTACATAAAAATAACATTAAATATTACTTTTCTAAAGTTTATTCATTAATTTAATTCTTATTAAATGCCTTTAAAACATATAATTATTGATTATATTTTGCTTTAACTAAGTAAACTGGACCAAATTGACCATATGCAATTGTTTTAATATGGAGCAATTCAGATTTCTTAATATTTTAAGCTTCTTTTTTTTTTGTTTAATCAGATTTCTATAACTTTTTTTCTAAAATTTTTTCATTTTTTTTAATCACTTCCTCTAACTCTCCTCCAATACAATCTATAAAATTATCTGCTGTGATTTCAGCTATAACTCCATCTGTTTCCATAACAATATCATCATCTAATCTATTTTTTGTATATTAAATCATTTTACATTTTTGCTTTATTTGTCTATAAAAAATATTCCTCACCCCATGCTTAAGCTTTAGTAGCCACTGTAATACCAGATTTACTCTTTTTTAAACTACCTTCAATAATAACAATAATTTTTTAATTTGCTTATGTTCCTTTTTTCAAAATAACATCTCCTGCTTTACATGAAGAAATTTTCATCACATCCAATACCTTATCTATTTAAGCTTTAGTTAATTTGCTTAATAAAGCATTCTTTTCAAAAGCCCACTTTTATAGATTTCTAAATGTAACAACATGAACTTAATCACCAAGTATTTTTGTGAGAGAATCTCTTCCCAAAGCTAAACATTTGACATCATCTTCAGCTCTAACAGTCATTTGTCTAACAGTATTATAATATAAAGCTTATTCACCAAAGGAATCCCCTTTATACAATTTTCTTACTTCTTTGTTACCTTTTAATACAGATACAGTTCCCTTTTAAAATTATTATGTTTAATTCATACTTCTTTAATTATATAAAATGATGATCCTGGGTCTCCTTCATTTACAATGATTTAATTTTTATAGAACTTTTAGACAATTAAAACAGCTGCAATTGCATCCTTTTATTCATTTGTCAAATTGTCTAAAAATATATATAAAAAATGATTTACGAAAAAATCTAACTACTTCCATAAATTTTCTATTTTCTTCATATTCTTTTGTGATCATTTCCTCAACAGCTCTTCTAAATGTATTTCTATCTATTCCCCAAAGATTACAGTTTTCAAAACACTTTACAGATGCAGAACGAGGAGCATTATATAATAGAGCTAATTCTCCAAATCCATCACCAGTTTTCAATTCTCTTTTTGCCTATTTTTTTCAAATTCATTAGTTTACTTTTTCATTTACAATTACTTCTAAGCTCCCTCTTTATAAAATAAAAAAACAAGTTGCATGGTCTTATTATTTAAAAATATAGGTTCCTGCTGCTGCTTCACAATAAAACATTTTGTTAACAATGTTCTCTCTAGAAAATATAAATCATATAAAAATTACAGTTCAGCTTCACTTAAATTGTAAAATACAAAATGATTTTTTAAACAAGTCAAAATAAAAGTAGTATCATTAAGTGTTTTTTTCATATCGATTCTTTTGACATTCTCATGTATTACTTCACCACCTTCATTTATATTGTGTTTAAAATTTTAGAGTTTATCCTAAAACTCACTAAATAATTACATTTTCATCTCCTCCAGAACGTTAGTCTTCTTCTCCATCACAATGTATTTAATTATCAGAATTGTTCTATGATCTTGGATCCATAAAATATAATTTAATATTTATATTTAGAAAATTAAGATTAGAAATTAGCTTTCAATTTCTCTCAATCCTATAACTATTCTAATTTAAGTAATTATTATTATTTAATGTTAAGATTCTACAATAAATTTAATAATCAATCAAAACACTTCAAAATCTATTGTTATTTCTTATATTCTTATCAAAACTAAATAAATACATAAGTAGTATTAATTTTAAGTGTTATATATATAGAAATATAGAATATAGAATTCTTCTTACTTTTTAGAAAGACATTTATTTTATTTTAATCAAACTATTTATATTATATTATAAATTAATTACATGCTTTACAATTCTAATTTTAAATTTATTAATAATCACAAATTAGCCTAATATTTGCTTTTTATGTCTATTTATATATATTTATCAAATCAAATATGACAGATATTGTAAGTTTCTTATGATATAGGTTAATTAAATTTATTTCATAGAAATTCTTAAGAATAATTAAAAAGGAATTTTTAATTTCTTAAATTGAACAAACACAAAACATTATAATAGGATTTATCAATTATATAATAACAACTAGATTCTCTTCTATTATAAGTTTAGGTGATTTAATGATAAAACATTTAAGTTTTTATAATGATGAATTAAAGATTTTATTATTTAAAGATATATAAATTATTATCATTCTAATATATATATGATAGTATTAAAGGTTCAAAGCCAAGTAAAATTATCCCTCCATGATTTTGTATGTCCTCTTTTATCTTGAAAATTTTCGATTATCGTTTTAGAATGAAGGGATTGAATTATAACAATCTAATTGTAAGAAGACCTAGTTTCAAAATTTTCTGAGGGTTCATCAATTACTGTGTCATCAAGAGTTTATTTTTATAATTCACTCAAAGGATTTGAAAAGTAGCACTTTTAGTTTATAACAAATCGATCCATTAATATAAATTAATTAGTTGATACAATTGATTAGAGAATTTAAAAATCTATATAATATCATTTTTAGATGTAGAATTTTTATCAATAATGATCTATCTGAAGATGTGTAAATGATAAGTTATAATGGAATCCCATTTTATATATATATAAATAACAAATGCATAATTAAATTAATAATAAATTATTATTCATGGAATTTCATTCAAAGAAATTAGAGGGGCTTTAAAATAAATTATTAATTGGGTAATTCATTTAAGTAATATAAACAATCGATAATTTGAGGATAAACTTTGTCGAATCTATTTTGAATATGAATTATAGAATCCATTAAATAATTTGATGGATGATTTGTCTGTAAAACAATCATTGTCAGAATTCCTTAATAAGATCTAAGATGTAAGTAGAAAAATAATTTAGATTACAAGTTTAATCAATTTTGGTTTGAAACCTATAGGCTTATATTTTAAAGGTGAATTGCCAGAGTATTGCAGAAACAATAGCATATTAAAAAAGATTTGCAATATTTTTAATATTGATACTTTGTTATTATATTCTCAAAATTAATAATTGGCATTCTCTTCAAAAGTACATTAATTTTTAATATTAAAAGAATATAACTACAAGTGTAGCAAATATCAAAATTATCGACTAATTTGATCTAAGAAGAATTTAATTATAAACAAGTTTAAGATTCAATCTAGGATAATAAATAAATGTCTAAAACACATTAGATAAAGTCCGTAAAAATTATGAAAACTTAAATCTCCTAAATTATGATTAAATATTATTGTAATAACAATAATTGAATGAAATTACCAATTAGAAAGAAATCATTTTAGGATTTTTTGCAGCATAAACATAATCAAGTGAATGCGTTCAAAATGATTAAACTTTCATACTTTAAGGGGACTTGTCGATTTTAATTTTAGCTGATTCAAAAATTACCATACAAGATATAAGAACAGTATAAATTGCATTAATATTTTAGTTAATTTTGAATGATATCTTAGAATCAGTGAAAGTAAGATTGTCATAAGAATTGAATCCTCCATGTTATTTGGCTAAAAGATTATTAATAACATTTAAGTAGAATGATTTAGTATTGTAAAATTATATAGATCATGAATTTAATAAAGAGTAAGAAATCAATTACATAAATTAATATTTTCCAAATTTGTAGATTGATTAGATTAAAATTATGGAAAGTAAATAAATAATAAAGCTTGAATAACCAAAATAATAATTATAATAATAATAATAATAGTAAGAGCAAGTTAAAGAAAAAATTTAAGAGAAACCAAAAGAAGTAGTAGAACAATAAAATTAATAGTAATAATAAGAAATAAAAGGGAAAGTTAAATAGGAATATTTAATAATGGTGGCAATATTTGGTATACTGATAGCAATATATTTGAAAACATTATTTTGAATATTTTTGTGATATGTAAACTTCAATAATCAACATTTAATGTCATGGCTACTCCTTAAAGAATCCAATGACTAGTATGTTCTTGAGTTCTTAAATCAGCTTCAAAAACAAGTCCTACTCCCATAGCATTACGTCTTGATTAAGTAACATATACTGGTGTAGCTAAAGTATCTAAAAAGTATAAAATTAATAAATTACCTTTCAATTTTAATTTATTTGCTTCAACAGGAATAACTTGAATTAAAGGCATCTCATAAATCAATTCTTTGGGATTCTATTTTTTAAGACAATTATTCTCAACATCCCATCTTGCTCCTTCCAAGTATAAACCTTCTATATAACATCCAAATTCCATTCTTTGATTGATATCTTTAGCCTTGAATTTCTTGGTGACTTAAGTATATAGTCTACTTTTATCTAGAGCCCAAGTTTTAGCTCTGCATGTAGTTTGAATCAAAGCAGTGAGATAACTTTCTGGAATATGAAGACCAGACAACCACATAACATAAGGCTCTTCTTTGCTTGCCCAATATGTATATTATTAAACTCTTCTCTTGAAATGATTCATCCAAGATCCTAGTTTCTTTTCTGTTTATGGTGCAAGTCTTCTCCACATACCAGGTAAGAATCCATTATATAAGGCTAATGATAACTCATCTAGATCACTACTCATACCAATCTCACCTTTTAATGCACGTTTAAGATTAAAAAGTGACTCATTTATTTTTATTATTAATTTGTTGAATCTTTCAAGTTCTTAGAATAAGACAACTTATGTTGGAGATATGATTTCTCCTGCTTCTTTTCTTAAAGCAATGACATCCCAAATGACAGGTAATTTAGATAAGACATCTTCACTCACATCATTAACATATTTATCTTTGTCAATACCTCCTGAAACTGCACCTCCAGATGCTCTTAATTATAAAAGATTATCCCAAATAGACTTTGCACTATTGGTGAAATAAGTGATTTCTGCATTTGGATGTAAACCAAAGACAACTGGAGAATTTATAAGAGGTAAATGATCAATCATTGTTTGGAATCCTTCATGATTAAGTATTTTAGGTATTTCATATTTAAAATCTTCACTTTAAGCAAAGAGGAATTCTCTATTTTTATCAAAGAGGAAATCTCCCATATATTCATCTAAATATGTAATCAATACTCTTCTATCATATGAATCTGTCACTCTACCTCCATACATAGCTTCTCCAATAAGATATTTAAGTGAATTCCAAGGAATTGTTTCATCTTTTGCATCAAAAGCCTTCCTCAAATACATTGATAATAAACTGCTACTAATATTGAAATCTGATTCATTAAAATCATAACTAACATTCCATCCAATTTTACCATACTTTCTTCTATCCAAAATAATAGAATGGAAAAATGATACTACATAAACTAATGTTTTATAAGCTACATGAGGACAAGAATTCAATGAATTTTCATCTATTTTACTCATGATAGCTTTCATGTTTAATTTCAATCCATCAGGTGGTTCTGTAACTACTTTAAGTGACTTTTGTAAAATACCCAAAGGAAACCTATCTGTAGGTTATGTTGTTAACCATAATCTAAAATCTTTATGTGGTTTTTGCATTAATTCCAAAGTCTTTTCTAAATAACTTTTCAACCATCCTGTGAGTAAATGACAATTTGCTAACATTAACCAATGTCCTCTTTATGAGGCAGCTTCAACAAATTATGATGCTTCTTATTCACTACCTTATCCAAGAGATAGATTTCTGAATTTAGCTCCTGTAAATCCTTTTGAGTCACCTAACTTTATAACATCTGGTAATGGATCAGCTCCTGGTGAGAGAATAAATACAATAGGTGATTTTTCATTGGATTAATCAAATATTTTTTCATAATTAATAATTGGTGGTTGTACATAATTGGAATTTCCATAAATATCTTGAATATATTTTTTGACTCCATTAATTACACGATCAGGTCTGAAGACTCTTAATAATAATAAGATTTAGAATGAATTTAATTTAGTATATCCTTCAGGTAATGTTTCTAATTCTGGTCTTTCATGATCATACCATTTTTTCCATTCTTTACCATGCTTTTCTAAATCATCTGCTAATAATCTATAGGTATCAGCCAATTACATCAATCTCATAATATCTTTCCAACCTGAATCAGGTACCCATTCATAAGGTTTCTATCTCTAAACTTATTCAAGTGAAGTATTTCCTTTCAAGAAGAAATCTAATTCTTCATGATTTAATAATTTTTCACCATCTTATATCATAATAGTCATTTAGAAGGCAAACATTAATTTATGAATTTCAAATATACCCAAACAAGTATAATCATAAACATTACTTGTTAATTTATCAATAATATTTCTCAATCTTGATTCTAAGATAGTATCTTTTCTAGCATCTCTTAAAGATTGATTGAATACTTATAAATATGCACTTAATGAGTATTCATACATTTCAGAAATTGAACTTAATGAACTCATTGCAAAGAATAATATAGCTCCTCTTTTAGCTACTGTTGTATAACTTTATCTTGCTTATTCAATTTCTTAACTTGTAATTTATCCATCATTAATTGCTTATTAAATCTCTTCTGATTTTGCTTTTGTTTAATCTAATGTATTTATCAACTATACATTATCTAACAATGAACCTTAAGCTTCTGACAATCTTTATAATAAATCATCTTCTGCTTCTTTCAACTTTTTCTTATTTTCACTCATACTCTAAATGAGTTCTAATCTTTATTTCTCTTTATCTGGTCTTTCGAATGAAACAACAACATTTAATAATTAATCTCTCAATCCAGTTAATGTGACTGTATAATTAATAACCATAGTCTTTGACATAATCTCTGGTGTATATTTAGGATTAGCTAATTTGGTTGTGAAATACAATCTAAAATCATCATTATAGTCAATAATATTTTCACCCAATTTGATACTCTTCATGCCTGCCTTGATTATGAAATTCTTTTCTAAAATTGGATCTATAGTTGGATCTAATTCTTCATCTACATTTTCAAATAAAAATGGTTTTCCAAATCTAATGCAATTTTCTAAAGGTTTCAAAAACACACCTGCTCCTTCATTTAAATTCAAAACTTTGAAAGCTATATCTTTTTCTTCTCTTTTTTTGATCCAATTAACTGCCTATAGTTGTGGATCAATACATAAAGGCCATCTTGAAGCTCTAGTTGTGAGTATACCATTTTAAACTGATAATTCATCAGATGGTAATCCTTCCGAATTCCATTGAGATATTTCTACTGCACTGCTTAATAGCTCCTCAAATTTAAATTCTGGATTTATTGGTAATTCCTTTTCCTTAATATCAACCATCCAATGATCATAAAGCATTCTTCTTCTAAATGAATAGTCAAATGGTCCTACATAACTTAGAAAAGAACTGGCAATTAAACAATCACCAATTAATTATAATGTCATTTATGCCAATTTACCAGTGTCTTCTGTCCATCTTTTCTTTTCACCTCCTAAACCTTCAATCAATTTCTTTGCAGCATTCAATTTCTTCTACATTTCCTATGCTTGTGCTGTCAATTCAGCTAATCTTGCAGCTTTTTGATCACTCTAAACTTATAATTCAGACACTTCTTTTTATAAAGCAGCCAATTTTATAGCAGTATTTCTTAAATCTTCTTCTGTCAACTCCTTCTACTTGTTCATCTAGTCTAAACGTACTTTAAGTGGTTCCACTTTCTTATATACATCATAAAAATTAACTGTAGCTGATACCCATGTATATAGACCACCTGCAGCTTTTGAAATCTTATAAATTTCATCTAAACGATTTTCTGGATCTTTCATAGCACTTTTAATTTTTTCAATCTAATTTTTAGTCACCTTTCCAATTTTATTACCATAATTCTATAATTATTCCAATAATTTCATTGGATTATTCATCATTTATCTAGCAGCATTCCAACCATCTCCTTCAATACCATCTATTGGTTTGAATAGAAGTAACATTGATGCAACTGCACCAACTGGTTTAGGTGGTGAATTCAATGCTTTCAATTCAACCAATTCTTTTTAATCAATCTTATTAAGAGCATCCTTAGCAGCATCTAAAATGGGAATGGCATCTTTAAGAAATTAATCAGCTTCCAATTGTTTCTAATTGATTTCTACACTGTCCTTTTCTAATTGTTTTTTCTTTTGTGAAGCTTCTTCGTTATCCTTTGTTGCTATCTCTTTTTTGGCATTAATAATTTTGAGCAATTCCTCAACTTCTTTACTTTCATTTGTTACTTCTACTTTTTTAATTTCTAATTCTTCTTACAAAACTTTCACTTATTCAGATGCTTCATCCAACTTTAAAACACCATTTGTATATCTCACTATAAGTTCCTAATATTTCTTTCTATTAACAGCCAATAAACGTTTATAATTTTATAAGAAATCCAAATAATTTTTAGGTGTGCTAAAATTTTTTCTTCTTAATTATAATTCAAAATCTCTTGAAAACATTTAGATACTCTCATGAACTTTAGTGATATGTTAAATAATCTTAGGTCTGAATGTTTCATCTTCTAAGTTTTCATCTTTCAAATACTCAGTAGCCACACTTACCAAAGCCTCTTCAGGCCAAGGGAAGAACCAATTAATTTAAGTATTACTAACTAAGCCTGGGAAATTACGACATCTAATTCTCAAAGTATCTCCAGCTGGACTCATACACAAAACAATATGCATATTATCTCTAATTTTTTCAAGGAAATAATTCCACAATTCATCTTTGGTTTCTAAAATACCTTTTCTTTTTGCTTCATCTCTCACCTTATCACTCATTTTCTTTTTGCCATCTTCATCAAAAAGAGCTGGTACCATTCCTATTGTAAGCATATTATTAATCAATTCTAAGAAACCTTCTTCTAATACATGAGCATCAGTAAACAAGAAAATTGTAGGTTTCTATGTCAAAAGATCATATAATGTCTTCAAGTCCTCTCTAAATTCTTTTTCTTTATATCCTCTTGTTAAAGTAATTTAGAAAATATCATAACTAGCAGTAAATGCACTTAATCTAGTCAAAGATTATTTACCACTACCTCCATAACCAACAAGTAATGCATGTCCTAATGGGAATCTTATTATTCTATGAATTTTGGTTAAGTGTTCTAATGCATCTTTAAATAATACAAGATTCATTTCCTTTACTTCTTCATTGTAATCTTATAACAAAGAGTTGAATTTTTAACCAACTTTTTCAAATCCTCCACAATCTTCATATAATTTAGGATCAACTACATCTGGATCAAGTGGATTAGCTGTTAAATAATCACCAAAAAGCATTGGATCCTATATTGCATATTCTAATGTATCACTAAAGTGTTCTCTAATGAGACTTGGAATCTTATCTACAATAATTAATTCTCTATCTTAATCATTAATTAGACGATCCACAAAGACACGAGTTAATTCATTTCTCCATAATCTAATAAAAGATTCTTTAGTTTAGAATTTGTCAAGTGTACTTCTACATAATCCTTCATAAATTCTGCTTAAATCTCTTAAGTTGAAAATGTAATGGAATTTAACTGGAGTACGTGGTAATTAGATTACAATAGCACTATATATTTGTAATGTAGCTTAAGTTATTTTAGAAACTGTAGATGATACTTCTTCAGGGAATCCTTATAAATGTGACTTCAAAATTGAATTATAAATTCTCTCTAAATTTTCATTTGATGGAAATAGTAATTGATAACAATTAAAAAGACTCAAAAATCTTGGATCAAGTGGATTAGCACCAACATTTGGTGGTAAAACAGCTGCAACAAATTAAGTGTCTTTAATAATTTTTTGATCTAGATTTTGACCTCTTTCATAACAAAATCCTTTTTCAATCAAAAATTTCAACCAAGCTATAGGTTATTATGTACCATAAATATCAACTTTAGGCATATGGATATCATCAATAAAAATGATTAATTTTTTACCTGAAATTTTTGGTCCAAAAATACGACCTGATCTCTTATCAATATTTTCATCTAATGCAGTTTAAACATCTATTGATTTTGTTCTTGATGAAAAGTTAATATTTAATTTCATATAATTTTCTGATGGTAAGGAATTTAAATAATTTGATATAATGACTGATTTAGCAGTACCACTATCTCCAACAAACATACAAGGTTATTTGTGAGTGACATTTTATCCTAAAAGATATGAAAATCTTTTAGTATCAACAGTTGGAACTAGGATTTTAGAGAACTTTCCATCAGCAGGTGGTTAATATTCTGTCACTTTCTTTTCCCAAGCAACCCAAGCTTTATTATCTAAAGTATAATCGAAAAAAAGATCGAACAATGAACCAGGTGGAATATGTCTTTATGCAACTCTTCTTAATACTTCTTCGAATTTCTTACGAGCTTCAAATTTTAAGCAAGCACCAAGTGACCAAACTATTGCAAAGATATAAGCTAATTCAAGATTTTCTTATTCAAATTAAGGATCTTCTTCATTAATTATTGTGTCTAACATTTTAGTCAATTAAGTTATGCAATTTAAATTGGTTCTTGGAATAGAAAATTCTAATACATGTCCTTGTTCTTCTCCATCAATACCTTCAAAAATAAGATTCATTAATGGAGGTATGTACTTAGAATAAAATTCTTCTAAGTTTTATTTCAGACCTTCTGCTTTATCTCCTTTCTTTTACCATTTTGACAACCATTTATCATAAAATGGTTTATATCCTAAATTTTTTGGATCTACATAAACCATACCACATCTACTAATAGTAGCAGGTGAAGCATATTAAAGATCAAATACTTCAAATAATAATTTACAAAATCTCTCTAGACGTATACGATCACCATTTATAAGAGTTAATAATTTGTTATCATCCATAACAGAGTTCATATTTTCAACCCAAACAGCATCAACATCACCATCTAATAAAATCCATCTTTAATGCACTTCTTATTAACCAGATGGTTTTTCATTTGCAATACGGAAAACCTTACTTAATATACCATCTTTCCATTCTCTAGTTGTCATTTCCATTACACCATATAATTCATTAACAGTTATAGATTTAGGATTAATACAATAATAGGTAGCACTTTCTACTCTTTTTAAGATTTCTATAACAGCTGACTTTCCTGATCCAGTTGGTCCTACAACCATTGTTGTATGTCTAGTCAACATAGTTTCATATAATTAAACAACTTTATCAATTTAATCATCTAATNTTAGGCATATGGATATCATCAATAAAAATGATTAATTTTTTACCTGAAATTTTTGGTCCAAAAATACGACCTGATCTCTTATCAATATTTTCATCTAATGCAGTTTAAACATCTATTGATTTTGTTCTTGATGAAAAGTTAATATTTAATTTCATATAATTTTCTGATGGTAAGGAATTTAAATAATTTGATATAATGACTGATTTAGCAGTACCACTATCTCCAACAAACATACAAGGTTATTTGTGAGTGACATTTTATCCTAAAAGATATGAAAATCTTTTAGTATCAACAGTTGGAACTAGGATTTTAGAGAACTTTCCATCAGCAGGTGGTTAATATTCTGTCACTTTCTTTTCCCAAGCAACCCAAGCTTTATTATCTAAAGTATAATCGAAAAAAAGATCGAACAATGAACCAGGTGGAATATGTCTTTATGCAACTCTTCTTAATACTTCTTCGAATTTCTTACGAGCTTCAAATTTTAAGCAAGCACCAAGTGACCAAACTATTGCAAAGATATAAGCTAATTCAAGATTTTCTTATTCAAATTAAGGATCTTCTTCATTAATTATTGTGTCTAACATTTTAGTCAATTAAGTTATGCAATTTAAATTGGTTCTTGGAATAGAAAATTCTAATACATGTCCTTGTTCTTCTCCATCAATACCTTCAAAAATAAGATTCATTAATGGAGGTATGTACTTAGAATAAAATTCTTCTAAGTTTTATTTCAGACCTTCTGCTTTATCTCCTTTCTTTTACCATTTTGACAACCATTTATCATAAAATGGTTTATATCCTAAATTTTTTGGATCTACATAAACCATACCACATCTACTAATAGTAGCAGGTGAAGCATATTAAAGATCAAATACTTCAAATAATAATTTACAAAATCTCTCTAGACGTATACGATCACCATTTATAAGAGTTAATAATTTGTTATCATCCATAACAGAGTTCATATTTTCAACCCAAACAGCATCAACATCACCATCTAATAAAATCCATCTTTAATGCACTTCTTATTAACCAGATGGTTTTTCATTTGCAATACGGAAAACCTTACTTAATATACCATCTTTCCATTCTCTAGTTGTCATTTCCATTACACCATATAATTCATTAACAGTTATAGATTTAGGATTAATACAATAATAGGTAGCACTTTCTACTCTTTTTAAGATTTCTATAACAGCTGACTTTCCTGATCCAGTTGGTCCTACAACCATTGTTGTATGTCTAGTCAACATAGTTTCATATAATTAAACAACTTTATCAATTTAATCATCTAATGGTCGATATCCTAATTGTTCAACAATCTCTTAGATTTTATCTTTCTTTTCATATGGTTTTCTCTTAACATCAATTTTAGGGAATAAATCAGTAATCAATCCTTAAAATAATGGAACATCTTCAAATATGAATTTAGGCATATTCATATCTCTAAGTGCTCTCATTAGTACAGTATCTTCAGGTAGATCAGCTGCCTCTCTTTTAAGAGAACCTGCCATAACTAACACACTCTTTAATGCTCTCAAACCAAAATCATAATGGTATTGTTTACTCAATTATTCACTACCCAATTTATATAAAACTGTCATCTTTTTAGCTAAAACTCTGGCTGAATTGAATCCCTAACTCATCAACATAATCTCACAAATAATATTAGAATCAGGTACAACCATAACAACTGGTCTAAAAAGAGCCTTTAAATTATCAGGTAATTCAGTTCTACCAGCATAACCTGGATTCATTGTTACAAATATTCCTACTGTTGTTTTAACTTGCACTTCTTTCTTCAATAATTCTATTGTCTTTTTATCTTACACTAAAGCTTATTGTATTGTCTTGATTTAAACACTTACGACACTCAAAACTTCAGCTGTAATTCTATTAAATTCATCAAAACATCCCCAAAATCCTGTTTATACTAGACCACTAAAAATAACACCCATAGCTTTGTAATCTAAACCTTCACCACAATTTGTTACACAACATCTTATAGCTAAAGACTTTGCAAGATCTTTAACTGTTTCAGTTTTACCAGTACCTGCAGGTCCAGCAGGGGCTCCTCCTAATTTAAATGTTAATGCAGTTGTCAATGTCATAACACATCTATCTGTTAATGGAGTAATAACTAATCTTCCATTCAATCCTTGATATTCATATCCATATGTAAAAGTACCTGTACATTATCTAATTCTTATGTCATTATCTTCCAATACCCAATAAAATCTTAATTAAGATTCCCATTCAAATTCTTTAGCATCTAATATTGAATCTTTAACAAAGAAATCAACAATATCTCTAGCATGTACATCAACAATAATTAAAGTATTAATTTTAATACGATCAATCATTTTAAGATCTGTTCTTACTAAATCAATTAAATCATCTAAATCTTTTGTTTATTTTTTTAATTCATCTTTCATTGCATATTTATTACCNTAATAAAATCCATCTTTAATGAACTTCTTATTAACCAGATGGTTTTTCATTTGCAATACGGAAAACCTTACTTAATATTCCATCTTTCCATTCTCTAGTTGTCATTTCCATTACACCATATAATTCATTAACAGTTATAGATTTAGGATTAATACAATAATAGGTAGCACTTTCTACTCTTTTTAAGATTTCTATAACAGCTGACTTTCCTGATCCAGTTGGTCCTACAACCATTGTTGTATGTCTAGTCAACATAGTTTCATATAATTAAACAACTTTATCAATTTAATCATCTAATGGTCGATATCCTAATTGTTCAACAATCTCTTAGATTTTATCTTTCTTTTCATATGGTTTTCTCTTAACATCAATTTTAGGGAATAAATCAGTAATCAATCCTTAAAATAATGGAACATCTTCAAATATGAATTTAGGCATATTCATATCTCTAAGTGCTCTCATTAGTACAGTATCTTCAGGTAGATCAGCTGCCTCTCTTTTAAGAGAACCTGCCATAACTAACACACTCTTTAATGCTCTCAAACCAAAATCATAATGGTATTGTTTACTCAATTATTCACTACCCAATTTATATAAAACTGTCATCTTTTTAGCTAAAACTCTGGCTGAATTGAATCCCTAACTCATCAACATAATCTCACAAATAATATTAGAATCAGGTACAACCATAACAACTGGTCTAAAAAGAGCCTTTAAATTATCAGGTAATTCAGTTCTACCAGCATAACCTGGATTCATTGTTACAAATATTCCTACTGTTGTTTTAACTTGCACTTCTTTCTTCAATAATTCTATTGTCTTTTTATCTTACACTAAAGCTTATTGTATTGTCTTGATTTAAACACTTACGACACTCAAAACTTCAGCTGTAATTCTATTAAATTCATCAAAACATCCCCAAAATCCTGTTTATACTAGACCACTAAAAATAACACCCATAGCTTTGTAATCTAAACCTTCACCACAATTTGTTACACAACATCTTATAGCTAAAGACTTTGCAAGATCTTTAACTGTTTCAGTTTTACCAGTACCTGCAGGTCCAGCAGGGGCTCCTCCTAATTTAAATGTTAATGCAGTTGTCAATGTCATAACACATCTATCTGTTAATGGAGTAATAACTAATCTTCCATTCAATCCTTGATATTCATATCCATATGTAAAAGTACCTGTACATTATCTAATTCTTATGTCATTATCTTCCAATACCCAATAAAATCTTAATTAAGATTCCCATTCAAATTCTTTAGCATCTAATATTGAATCTTTAACAAAGAAATCAACAATATCTCTAGCATGTACATCAACAATAATTAAAGTATTAATTTTAATACGATCAATCATTTTAAGATCTGTTCTTACTAAATCAATTAAATCATCTAAATCTTTTGTTTATTTTTTTAATTCATCTTTCATTGCATATTTATTACCTTCCTTAACTTTTCTAAATACATCTTCTACTCTCCAAGTCCACCAAACTTAAGTACCTGCTATGGATATCATACCAATTTGATTTAGAATCCAAGGTACTCTCTCTTTATTTGCATAATGGAATGTAGCTTCTTTTGTCATTTTCTTAAGTGTTGATTGCATTTCTTCATCAACTCTTGTCATCCATAATTCAACTGGACCATCAGTTTTCTATGGTTCTTTATAAGAAAACTCTTCTGATTCATCAGATGCCATACCAATAACCATTTTATTTCTGGATAATAACATTTCTCTGCAATTATCAAATAATTTCAATGTATGTGGCTAAACAGCTGAAACATCACTAGATCCCAATATTGATAAAAGATCATCATCTGATAAGAAATAAAATCTTGGGAATACATTTCTCTTAGTATCTAAATAATCTGATAAGGATTTTTATCTTTTATCTAATTAATCAGACAAAGCTTTCAATTCACTAAGTCTTCCATCATTAACAACACAACTAGCATATATATTTGGATTTTTAGCAGTTGATTCCATGATCTTTTTATAGGCTTTATCATTTTAATCAAATTTCTTTGAATCTTCTCTTAATTATTATCTAATATCTTCAGAACCCATAAATATACCCTCTAAATCTTACCATTTCTTTTAAACTTACAACCAAACATCTATTACTTCACTTATTCTATTTAATGCTTATTCCCAATGTCTGATACGTGAAATGAATGCTGCAACATACTTACTACTAGAAACTGTTTATAAATTAGCTAATTAATCTTCTAACAATTATTTAATTTCATCAACTGTTTTTATGACTTAGAATCCTTTTTTATCTTTATCAATTATAAAACTTGCTGTTTTCCAAGCTTATTCAATTTTACTGATTTCTTCTTCATTCTTATGTTCTTAATTAGCTTCTGTACAAATTTCAGTAACTTTTTCTGGAAATCTTGCCAAATTTAAAGCAAACACTTATTCTAATGTCATACTTTTAATTGAAGTCTCAAATTTAACTCCTGTTTCTTTCATCAATTTCTCCCAATGTCTGTCTGTTATTGCTCCACTCTTTAATTATTATATTAATGGAATTGAATCCCTAAAATCAGTGATTTTCTTTGCTAATTTCTCATAAACTGTATTCTTTTCATATTATTTTGCTAATTTCTTCTTTTACTTATCAAAGTTATCAGCACCATTTTTTAGTAAATCAGCATCTAACTTTACCCAAAGCATAACTGACCATTCTTAAATCTAATTTTTAACTGTTCTATAACAATCATATAAAACAGATAACACTTTATTTTCTTCTTCTATAGCAACCAATTCAGGAAATGAAGATATTGGTAAATTGAATAGTTTTTCTGCCTTAACTAATTCCTCTCTTCTAGCATTCAACTCAGAAACCACAGTCTTATATTCTTATAGAGATTCCAAACCCTTATCTAATGAAGTACTCTCAGCACCTGGACCACCAGCTTTAAAATCTTTATAAAGTAATTTGATATTTTCTTTAAATTATTCTACTTCCTTTTTTGTAACTTCAGCAAACTCCTTTTTCTTTTCAACTAATTTTGAATCCTTCTTCTTTGCATGATTAACTAATTCATTCCATCTATCATTCAAAGAAAATGCTTCTTCTAATTTCTCTTATTCTACATTTTATTAATACATTTTTAAGGTTCTAAACCTTTCTGTTACATCACCCATTTTAAATTCCATATTCATAGTCATATTCTTTATTTCTTAAATTAAATTCAGAAGTTTCTTTAAATCTTCAATATCCTTTGGTTATACCATTAATTATTCTCTATAATCATCAATCTCTTTCTTAATTGCTTCTAATTCTCTTAATCCCAAAGTCTTTAACACTATTCCATGTTTATCCATCCAATCTTTAGCTTGTGCCTTGAAGCCTTCAATTACATTTCCAAAATATTCAGAAATAAAAAAGGCTTTTCTCTCTCTAGGATACTCTTCAAAATCTTAAATCAAACCTTTATACTTGCTCATCATTATTTCTAAAGATAAAGTTGTTGGATTTTTATCTATTATTTTCTCAACTGCATGCTTAGCCTTTTAATCCCATAAAGGCTTCTTTTTATCATCTTCCCACATTTCCTTAAAATTATTAACTTTATCACTAGCCTTCTCTCTTATAATACCAATTTACATAGCAATTCTAGTAATTATTGGATTTCTTATTATTTAACTATAGAATGTATGATATTGTATTTCTTCATTTGCACTACGACTCTACTTCTTTTCACAGAAAATACAATATCCATCCATCCATCTCCAAAATCCTTAAGAAGCTTCCTTAATACTTGTTGAAATCTTTTCTAAAACAGTTGTGACCTCTGGAATAGGAGGAATAGTATTTAATTAAGGATGATTATACTCTGCAGTAATTTAAAATAATGGCACTTATTTTCCACTTGGTTGTTATAATAAATTTTTAAAAGTTAAAAAACCTCTTAAAGTCATTTTAACTAATGCATTATATATTCTTCTTTCCCAATAGTAATAATATTCTCTCATTCTTGGTTCACCTTTTGATGAACTATTGAATATTGATTCTTCAATATTTCTTAAGAAATTATCCCCTACTAATTTATATTTCTCTACTAATTCCTCTATAGTTTTATTAAGATGTTCTTCAAAATAATTTTAGAATTCATTCAACTAAGGTAAAGATGCATTTTCTTTTCTTGTTTCAAAATCATACTCTCTTAAAATTTAAGCTTCTTCAATTGATTTTACTATATCTTCAATCATTCCTGTAGATTTTCTAACTTTCTTCTTAATATCCCTAAATTCATTAATTGCTTTAAGGCAATTATCAATATAATCTGGAATTCCCAAAGATGCCAAATTCAAAAATTCATGTCCAGGTTCCAAGGCTCTATTTAATTTCATGATCTTTTCTTTTAACAATTCTTTTTCTATTGGCTATAAAGTATGAACAGCTTCATCATATTCTCTTAACATTATTTATAATCTATCAATATAACCATAAAATTCTTTTTCTAATTTTGAAATATTAATAGTTGTTTAATTGATCTTATATCCCATTTTTTCTAGTTATTTTGTTTCCTTTATTAAAGTCTTAAATTCATCCTAAAAGAAAACTGTATAACGACGATTCCAACTTCCTTCTTCCTTAGGTTGTTCATGTTTTGTTAAAATCCTATTTTTTTGATATTGCAATGCTTTTTCAGTGATTGATTTTTCCCAACTTTCAAACTTTTCCTTTTAAAATTAATCTAATTTCTTAGCCAACGTTCTGTATTCATTTTTTGCTTCATTATAATATGATCCCAAATCTTTAGGATTCTTACTCTCTTTATTTTCTTATTTATCTTATCCCTCTTTCTTTTCAATAAAAGTTTCTTCTCTTGTTATAAATTTAAGAACAGGTCTTTTAACTCTATAAAATATCGATCTTGCCCAACTTATAGATCCTGCTACAGGTGGACGATTTTTTGATGATATCAATGATACATCAGTTGTTTACTATCCTTTTTCAAATAAGCCTTGATTTTATTTTAATTCATTTCTATATTAGACTAACACTTCCTAATATTTTTTCTATAAAGTTGTACTGATATCCTCTAATGTATCAATGCTTTTAAAATTTTATAATAAATCAAAAGCTCCTTCTGCTGATCTTAAGGATTTAAATGTTTCATCTATTAATTCAATTGTTTTTACAACAATTTATTTTTGATTCTCTTAAAATTTTTAATAAATAGTTTTCCATTAACCAGCATTGCCCTTTTAAAAGAAATTGTAAGGACTATTAACAATAGGAGTAATCAATTATTTAACATCTTCAATTCTTTTATCTATTTCTTAAGCATTTCCTGTGACTTTCTTTAAATTTGGACCCAAAAATACTAAGAATTTTCTAACAGTGTCTATTACTTTTCTCAATTCATCTAATCTATTAGCCATATACTCAATTCTTTCTTGAATAGTTCTGACAGTAAAATCCCAACGATCAAGATTTTCTTCTTCAATTGCTAATTTAGTCTTATGATAAAGATCTTTCCATGATTTGAGAATTTCAGAACCTTGCATTATTAGATTGATGCTAGTTTCTAATTATTATTCATAAGGTAAATCATCTCTAAGAGTAAATAATTATGGTATTTTAATTTAAGATTCTACTTTATCAGCTATTTCTTCTGAAATCAATTGTAATAGATTCTACATTTTATCTCCTTCTTTATAATGTCTAGAAATAATCCAAACCATTTTAAGTCCATTCATTAGAGAAGGTAATGTTTCTTTGATTCCATTCAAACCATCTTAATCAAGATTTTTAAATTATCTTTCAAGTGTTGTTAGAAATTTAACATTATCTTTAGCTTCAGCTTATGCTTTTGTCAATTCTGCAAATTAACCATTAAATTCAAGTACAGATGATTAATTATCTTCTAAATAAGTTTACAATCTCTATCTCACTTTAGCTAAAATAGGGTTTTACTATAATAAATCAATGAATTTCAGTTACAAGTTGCTAATACAAAGTACTCAAATTTGCTGATCTTGATCTCCATAACATGATATCTGCCAAAGCAGAATTCTTTTCAGTTTTTCTACTAGCCTCCTTTAATATAGTCTGTCTAATTGTTTATGACCATTTTCCTATATAGTCTTCATATTTCTCCATAAGTTCATAATTTTTAAGAGCAGTTTCATCATCAATTTAATCAACAACATCTGGTAATTCAATTGTAATTGTGCCTGAAACCTGAATTTGTTATTTAGATGAGTACCTATTGACTCGAATGTTCGATTTGGCTTGTAAATTTTTAGAGAGTGGTCCTCAATTCTACTTTGGATTCTAATGGGATATACACTCTCTCTACCAGCAACTATAGCATTTACAGTTGCTTGATGTTTGTAGGTTTTGCACTTTAAAGTGCACTTTTTGAATTCATTAAAAATAATTATGATTAAGATATTTAATTCTGATTTGTTTAATAATTACAAAGTAATGATATTATATAATATAGATAAAATTATTCGATTATTCAGTTGCTTATAAATTATTATTTTGTTTGAGGAGTCTTAATTTCTGATAGTATGATTTAATTTTTTGAATCTTCCTCTTCTTCAGAGGAATGTTGAATTTAAAATTTAAAATAAGGTTCTATCCTAATTTAATATTCTTGATTATTTTTAAATTCACAAACTTCATTTATAAATTCAATAATCCTTTATAATGTTGTAGATGGTCTATTAGAATTATGATCTCCTTCACAAATATCTAATTTTTTAGGCATTTAACAATTTTCATATAATTTAAGAGTGTATTAATAAGAAATAAGAGTATCTGATTTACCTGCAACAAAAAAGAACTTTTTATTAGGAATAACTTATTTTAATTTATCAATGGGGTTTAGAAGATTGATGTCAAATTAGGCTTAATTCAATATTTTTCTCCTTAAAATAGGGATAGCAAGATATAATATGAATGAGAAGACTCCAAATTGTCTATTGCCAATGTCTTATAATAATTATCGAAATTCCGAAAAAGCACTATCAATAATGTAAGTTCTAATTTTAGAATTTTCAGTTAAGAGTAGAGCAGTAACTGCTCCCATACTACGACCCCAGAGCATGAATTCATCTACTTTCCCAAAATTATTCTCAATATATTTCATAAGTTCTATAACATCTTAACTTTCATATACTCCCATAGTAATAAATTCACCTTTAGACATACCACAAGCAGCAAAATCTAAAACACATAAATTTATATCCCATGATGCCAATATTTCAGCATACCTAATTCCTTCTAATCTACAACTTGCATTTCCATGTAAATAAATCATACATCTATGATTTTTTGCTTTTGTTAAAAAATAACTAGCGTTCAATTAGATGTTTCTGGATTCAAATACAAAATCCACTCTAACTATAGCTTTAGTTTAAAGAAATCTTATTTTTGGTCCTTTTTTGTATATAAAAGTATGTTACCTAGATCACTAATCATATATTGTCTACGAGGAGGTCTAATAATTTGACGACAATATTAATCAAAACAATTCATAATTATTATGATAGTTGAGAATGTTAAAAAAAGTAAATTCTCTTTCTCTAGAAAGAGTGAATCTGATGAATAATGTAAATTAGATTAGTTCAAGAATAAACTATAAGGTAAATCATTTTTATATGTTTAGGTGATGTACTACAATTCCTTAAAAATACAAAATAAGATGATTAATCATTACAATCTTTTTTATAAAGAATAGGAATAATTTTAGAAGGTGATGAAGAGAATTATATATTGGATATAAAAGAATATCATGAAAAATATATAGAAGGAGATATATTAGGAGAAGGTTGTATAGGATTAGTAAAGAGTGTTAAAAGAAAGAGTGATGGTTTTGAATTTGCTTGTAAAACAGTGAAGACTGATTCTGAAGAGATAGTAAAAAAAGTAAAAGTTCAAGTTTATTTTAAAGATGATTTTGGAATTTAAAAACCTAAAGAAATTGAATCATCCTCATATTGTATCGATGAAAGAGATTTATATATAATGGTTTGAAGGATTCTAATCAACTGGAATGGTGTATGTAATAATGGAGAAAATTGATGGAAGAGAAATGTTTGAAGTTATTTAATAATAAAAACAATATAGTGGTATTATTTTTACTAAGAAAGAGACCATTGCCCGTGTACTATTCATATAGATTTTAGAAGCCATCAAATATATGCATGAAAACTATTGTTGCCATAGAGATTTAAAACCAAACAATATCTTATGTGCTCATGATGGCAAATCCATAAAAATAACCGATTTTAATGTAAATAAATTTACAAAAATGTAGGTTTCAAAATTTAATGATAGTTATAAAGAGTTTGGAGATCTTAATTAACATGGTAAAATTGAAATGTGGACATATACTGGAACTGTTGCATTCTCAGCTCCTGAAATATTTTCAGGTAATCTTTATAAGTAATTAAACTAATGTAATTAGTGAATAAGTTGATTTATGGAGTGCAGGTGTCATATTATATGTAATGTTAAGTGGAGAATTGCCATTTAATTCTGAATATCTTAATGATTTAATTGAATAGATTAGATAATGTAAATATGATTTTGCTGGAATCATATGGGCTTAAATCTCTGAATCTGCTAAAGATCTTATTACTAATCTTTTATAATTAGATCCTGATAAAAGATTTACACCAGAATAGGCTTTAAATCATCCTTGGATTACACATGAATAAAGTAATTCAGATATTCCAAGATATTAATTATAAATTAATATGGCTCGTATCTTAAGAGTCAAAAATATTAATTAAGAATCTAAAATCAAATAAATTTGTTACCTTTTTGGAGCTGGAGATATTTGGAAGAGACATTCATTAGGCTAGGATACTAACTTAGATCTATATGATAATCTAAAAAAATATAGATCTATAGATATATCTGATAGTTGGAAAAATGCTGAAATCAAAGTAATTAAAGACACTAATAAAAAAGGTGTTTATACTATAGATTATCCTTTTAGTGATTCTGATTGAATTTAAAAATTTTATAATTTATTAATAGTTTTCTTAATTAAATATACTCTTAATATAGTCTTATTTATTTTCTTTAAATAATATTTTATTCATTGTATATTATTTCAATGATATATAATTTTAGATAGAAAATATCAAATTTTATATAAATATATAATTTATCTAAGTTTTTATAAAATAATCATAAAACTCTAGTTAAAGGTATTCATGAAAAACCTTTAATCTCTGATTTCTACTTGATCTCTTTTAATTCAATAAAATCTTAACTATTCTAATGGTCATTTAGAAGTGAGTCTTAATGTTCTGCTTATTAATTGCCATTCATCATTGATGAAACAATTTCATCATAAGTTATAATTTTCTATCCCCATTATTTATATTAATAGTATATACCAAAACAGGCTAATATTATTATGCAAGTAAAATAAATATAATATCTATAATCTGAATTACCTGAGATGCTCTTTATCTCTGATGGAAACCCTCCAGCAATTAAACCAATAGCTTTAAATACTAAATATGACTATTCAATATTTATAAATATATTTATACTCCTAAAAAGCTAGTACTAAAGATTATTAAATGATCAAACAATCTAAATGATAAAACACTAAACCCAAAACTTAACACTACCATAATTGAATATAATATATATTCTGAAGTAACAAATTAAACTAATAATGCATTCCATAATAATAATGACAAGACTACTCCTAATCCAATACCTACTGCAACTATACCAGCCTTATCTAAATGCATTGACAAACCTCCTACAAATGCTCCTAGTAGTACTGCTATTATCATTGCTATCCATAAATAAAATGGATTGTCTCCTATATCTAATTCACTTGATATATATAGTGCAAAGAAAAAGCCAATTAAATATCCAAATATAAAAAGAGTTGGCTTTAAGATTTTCTTACCCATTAAACATTCTGTTAAACCTATGATTATCAAAATTCCAGACAAAAATTTCTTATTGTCTTATAGAAACTCAACAATTTTTGAAAATAAAACTAGATGGCAACCATTATCAGCTTCCATTTCAATTTTATATAATTATTTATCTTACTCATAAGATACATCCAATATTTCAAGTCCTTCTTATTCCTCTGAACAATAGAGCATATACTTTATTGCAAAACCATTTAAAGTGCTATTATATATTTGATTATATAATTACTTTTTAAATTCTGCCTAAACACCCTCATTTGATTCTTCTTCATTAATAAGTTCAAAGGAATCTGCAAAATATGAATCTGTATTAATCAAAGAAATGCATTATTATTCTGGTTTTCCTTCATTATTTATTATAACAGCAAATGTATTAAGTGATATTTCTGGACATTTTAAAATTGGTTAACAAAATCGAAAATATAATGTACTTGTTTCTAAATCATAAAATAAAAAAACTATACCGTTTAGAATTTATTTATATTCCTTAGTTTGTAAATCATCAAATATATAAATAGCATCAGAATTTATTACTTTTTTGCATTTGCTACTTTAAATTGTTATTAGCAGACATCCTAAGATTAGTATAAAATATTTATAATTCATTATTATTAAATGAAATTGATTAGAAATTATCAAAATACAATTCTTAATTTATAAGAATATAAAAATATATATCTATTCAATTAGTTAATATTTGATAAGATCATATTAATATTATTATTATTATGAATAAACCTAAATGAATTATATACAAAGAATATTATTACTTTTTTATAAGAATCCTATTTCACAAATCATAAAGATGTTTAATGTCATTTTATACTAATTGTTTATAAGAAGATTTTTTAATATTCTATTCTGTAATAATATTGAAAAAACAATTAATATTAATGAATAACTTAAATATCTATAAATATAATTGAATTAATTTAGAGTAATAATATTTTCTAATCACAAAAACAACATAACTTAAAGTCTTATTCATATATACTACATTTTGAGATACTGAAAAGTTAATTTAAAATTAAAAACTCTTATGTCATAATGATTAGAATCTTGGTTATTATAGGAAATCAATCCAATTTAATATGAAATAATTTTAATAGTTAGAAAAAGTAATCAAGATTAATTTCTTATTATTTTCCCTCAATATAATTCAAAATTGGATGAATTTTTTTTAACACTTTTTCATTTATATTTAAGTTGATATATTAAATTGATATCAAACCATCTCTATCTGAATCTAATTATTTAAATATTTTTTCAACAAAATTAATATTATTTGCAACTTCTCTTTCCTTCATAATTGATTTAGTATTATTTTTGTCATTTAATTTTATAAGTTTATTATCAATTAAATTTGCTAAAATCTCATCTTGTTTATCTACTTTCTTTTTAACTAATTTGAATGTTTGATCTTTTCTAATCAGAGGTTTGAAATATGCTTAATTTGTAATTTTATCATTTTATGCTGATTCTTATGTTAATCTTCTTTATTGCAACTTCAATTTTTAATCTCTCTTTTCTTAAATAAGTTTTTCAGCATGTTAGATTTACTCTTATAAAGTAGGTTTTTTTGCAAAATTAAATCCATTATTTGGATGAAATGGATAAATTTAACTCATAACTCTTTATCTTAGTATATGTTTTTTAGCATTTAATAATTTAGCATCATTATATAATTTCGAATGAATAGGTTGTTCAGAAGTTCCTCTCTTTTTAACGATTAAACGAGATATGCTATTAATTCTTGGTATTGCATAATTAATTTATTTTTATTCTTGTTCTTATTCTTATAAAGCTGTATTCAATCTTTTTTATTAGTTACTGGCATCTGCATATAGCTATTCGAAAACATCCATCTCTTTTATTATTAAAATTGATACCTGTTTTATTTCTGTATAATTTTTATACAAGTTGTTATGTATTTAATGAAAGTATAGAAGTATGACGAGTTTTTACCTGAAATAATATAAAAATTAATACTGGAACTTTTAGCTATCTTTTAATTTCTGCAATTATAAATTATTTTCCTTCTTATTTAATATGATGTCTATCACAAAAAAATTATGTCAATAGTTCAATGTCATCCCCTTCATAAATACAAATCTATTCTATTTTTTCCCCTATATCCAAACTTACTATTGCTTATAAATTAATCATAAAGACAATAAAAATTATTTAAAATGTGGGAAAAATTAATTCAATTAAAATTCTAAATAAATATAATTTATTTGATTGGTTAGGGAAAATGAAAATAGAATTTAAATCACAATTTCTAATAATAATTTCTCTATAAAAGATGTTTATAAATCAATAATCAAAAATATTTAAAGAATTCTACGAATCAATATATAAGAAATTTTATTTTAATTGCAATATAATTTAGATAAAAATATTAAAAATTAATGTCCTTAAATAACTTCTTTAAAAAGAAATAGTAATTATAAAAAGAAAAGGAGGAGAGTGAAAAGTATGAAACTTAATAAATATTGCAGACAATAAAAAAAAGTAGAATAAGAATAAAAGCGTAATATCCAATCAGTGAAACTGAAAGCAAGAGCCTCTGAAAGAATAGAAAATTTTTAAGACACTATGATATCCAATTAATTTGTTGAAACAATGAAAAATGGTTCTTATCCTTTATTGTGTGTAAGCAAACATTCATTTAGAGATAGAGAAAAAGAAAAAGAATTAGATAAATTAGGTGGTATTTATTTGAAAACGTAATATTTTATAATAAGATTCCATAGATTTTAATTAGCAAAAGATAGAGCATCAACAGCTTAAAAGGAATTTTTTTAAAGTCATCTTTCAACAGGAGAATTTGAATAAAATCCTCCAAATAAAAATTATCAAAGATGGTTACGACCTCCTGATTTAACAAAATAAGAAAAACCTTTGAGATTTGGATTAGGAGAAAGAAGTGAAGTTTAAAGATTAAATAAATAAATTAAGAATATAAGTGCATAATTAGATTTTGAAGTATTTATACATTGTATTTTAGAATAAAGATTTAATTATGTTAAATTATCCTAGTTGGAAAGATGATGAAAAATCTAAATGGTTGGATAATAAAACTTTTAATATATATCCATGTCTATATGAAGGACCTAAAAGCTACTTTCCATGGAAATAACATCCAATTAATTTAAATAATTAAAATAACTAATATATAGAAGGTTATGAAATTGTTGGAGATCTTTCAAGAAAAAGAGAAAAAAATTAAGAAGTATTATTTTAAATTATATATTAAAGCATAAAAGAAGTGAGTTTATTTCTACAGTTAAAGAGGATTAATTTGGAACAACTATTCATATTTCTAGATCCTTAAGATCTATGAAATAAGATAAAATTTTAAATATGTAATCTAATTATGATGAATATTCCACAAATAAGTAAATAGAGTTCTATAAAACTACCTTATTATAAACTAAAAGTATAGATCATGTTACACCTCATGAACATAGTAATAAGTAATTTAATATACTAAAGTAGTTATAAAGGTCATTCTTTACATAACTTAAGACCATAATAGCCATATAAACTTTATAGACAATCCATTAATTATCTAAATTAAAAAATAGTCTCTAAATAACCACCTGAATAATTAATATAAAGTTCATCTAAAATTTAAGATGATTAAGTGACATCATAAATTCAAACTGCTGAATTATTCTTGCCTAAACAAAAGTTAACCTAAATACAAGAAATTCCTCATGTGTAGATTACAAGTTAGCAATCTAATAAACCATTTAGTAGAGATACTTTAAATTCTCAAGGTGGATCCAAGAGTAGATTTATGGATTAATATAATTCAAGGCGATCGCAATAAGTTGAGATTAAATTAGGTTATCCTTATAGATTAGAGAATGATGAAACTACAGCTGAAATTATGGGAAAATATTTTAATGAAGAATAATAAAATTGATATTTCCTTATTTATATTAAGTAAATATTCACTAACATATAATTTTCTAATTTTATTTTTTAGTTTTCATTTACAATCTCTTAATTTAAACATTTTATCTCAATTCTAAAAACACTTAATAAAAGAATTCAAATATTTTTATATTAATTTTTTAATATAGAATAATAAATTATTTTATACTAAAAAGGTAAATTAATAAAAATATATTCACAAATATATTTTAATAGCAGAATAATTTAAAATTAATTGATTTATTTATAATATATGAATAATCATAATTACATTATTTTTTAAAGTATATTTAAATAAAATAACATAATATATAGAAAATTAATAATAATTAAATGTTAATTACATATGAGATTAAGAGAATATATTATGATTTTAATAGATATCTGATAAAATTCAAAAATTTCTAAATAAACAATAGATTCAGACATTTTCTAATCTGTTAGAATATAATGTTCTGCAGAAAATCCTTAAATCTTATCTAAGTTTAGGGTAGATAAGTATAGGGATGATATGATTTAAATTCTTTCATTTCAAATAAAATTCTCTACAAGATTATAAATTGACATAATCATTACAATATAACTTATTGATGGAATACTAGACTAAGATGTGTAGCTTCTTTGAATATTAAGATTTTAGATCTTGTAATATAAAAAAGAATAGACATTTTTTAAAGAGAAAATTGTATAATTTATTTTTTAATATGTTAATATCATTGTCTTAGTTTACTAAGTATTTTAGTGATCTATAGATTAAAAAATTTATTAAAAATAATGAAAACAAGGAATTCTTAGAGATAATCATAAAGAGAAGACTTGTCAGTGACTTGTTAAGAGGTATTAACTATAATTTCTCAAAAAATTCATACCTTATATATTAACCATTTTTAAGCCTTATTTTAGAATATATCCATAAGTGAATTCCCCCTTAACAGCAGTGCTCAAACACCTAGAAAGAAAAGAGGACCAATATGCAAGAAACACAAATATGTACTTCTGTTATTTAAATAAAGACCACAATAAATTTGAAAAAACACAAATCCTCAAAATAATTTATCTGCTATGAAGACAGAGATTTAAATATTCCCGAGAAATACTAATCAATCTTATAAAAACATGTAAGAATTATATTTAAAAAAATTAAAGAAAACAGATGACGATAGAGAATCTGATTCAGAATAAATTAAACATGCAATTAACTACTTGTACAAAGACTTATTATAATGTATTGAAAGAGAAAAGAATTGAAATTATATTAATTTTATAATGCTCAAAAAATACCTCTTGTAATGCAACTCGAAAGACTATTTCTAATAAAAAAGAGTACATACAAAAGACTCTGAACACACTAGACATTTTGAGTAACATGTAGATCTTATATATTATAATAAAGAATTATGTAAAGAGGAACATACAAACAGAAACAAAACCAGCATTAAAACCAATTGACATGGAAGAAACAAGAAAAGAGGAGATTTCTAAGTTTCGTTCTATATCACTTTATAATAAGAAACCACTTAGAATACCATCTTCAGCAGAAAAATGTCGCTCTAATGAGAAAATTAAAGTTTTTAATATTTTCAATAGTACTCCAAGAAATGTTAAACCTAGTAGATCATAATAAATGTTGAATGGATTTAAAGAAAAAGTAGTCTATTCATCTCATAATCGTGTATTTAAATTATCAATAATTTTAGTAATCATCTGCTACTAAATATCCAATCTCAAGTAGAATTAATGATTCATAAGAAATATTATAATAAGCAACTAAACCAAATATGATTCCATTAAGAAGGTTTTTTAAAGATAATCAAGTCTAGTAGCATAATAATATAAAATTGGAATTAGAAAAACATAAAAATAACAATATATTGGAATTATTACTCTTAACTACAGGAGAATTGAAGAAAAAGTTTCAAGAAGAACATAAGTAACGAGATAGCAATAGTAGATAAAACTCAGAAGAGAGAGTAAGGATTAAAGTGAGAAATAGCCATAAATTTCCAAAGGATTTTTTTCTATGATTATATTATTTAATTAATGCTCAATGTTCTCAAATAACTTTAAAATGAAATGACTTCAAAAGATGATTAAATAAGAGCAAAGGCTACTCACAATTTTAGAGAATAATTAGAATTAATCAATGTTAATCAAGAAGAATCAACATTTTTAATTGAATTTTTCTTACATAAATTAAGTGATCCTCAATCTTTACTTGATACAACATATATTTTACTAAAATTAAGTAAATCTTAAAAAAACATTCATCCATAACTAATTAAAATGATTTAGAATAAATAAATAATAATACCCTCATTTTCAAGAGAAGCCAGAATCAATTTATATCAAATTTTTCTTATATATCCTATTACATTTGAAATTGCTTCAGCTATACTTTAGAGTATAATTGGTGAAAAGGATCCAAGAAATATTCTAGTTGCATTTCAATTATGTGATGCCATTCTATAAGAAAATAAAGTAGGAATTTAATATAAAAGAGAAATTTTTGAGTTTTTAGATTGTTATTATCCTATAGAATTTAATGAAAAAGCAGATCCAAGGTATAATTAAATAATTAATTAGATTTTAAATTAAAAAAGTAGAAATTGAAGATATACTAAATAAATGTCTTTTTAGTGAAGTTTTACTAGATGATTCTATTTTATTGTTATAAGATAAAATTGTATCAGCTTATGATAGAGCTTAAGGGTCAGCACTAAAAAGTGTTATGTGGATAATTAAAAATTAAAATAAAATAACTGTATAATAAATTGAAGAGATTTTTGAATCTATCTAAAAACTTACAGACCAAGTTATCATGGATGATGATGTAGTTTTATTAATTCCAATTACTTTAAAAGAAATTTGTAATCATGAAAAGTATTCTAAAGTAAAAGCAAAAATTAAAAAAATTTCTCTGAAAACTATAGAAGAAATACCTGCAACTTAATAAGGATTTATATATTTCAATTTTTTAAAACTATTGATTTAAAATAATGATGAGATGATTTTTAAAGATATTATTCAAATATTTAATAAAAAATTTGATACTAAAAATATTAATGTTACTTAAAAAAGATTAGAGAATGTAATCTCCACAATTGAAGAATATAAAAAATATGATAAAGATTATATTTCTGAATTAGATAACAATCTAAAATTACAACTCTATGATACTTTATAATAAGGAATAATTCATAAAGTGTAAAATGTTTTTATACTTACCCTAAAATGTCTAACTGATATAATGAAATATTATCCTGATCAATTAAGTAATTTAGAATCAATTTTATTTAATTAAATCAATAAAAGGGAACTTATAGAATAATAATGTATTTTAGATTATTTTTCTAAAATTGGTATTGTTGATATTAAGTAATATTAATAATTACTTACTTTATGGGAAAATAATAATAAATTATTATATGATTATAGTTTAACATGTTCTTTGTATAATATTCAAGATCATTTTTCATAATTTACATTAAATATAATTAGTAATTAGCATTATTAAATTAAATAAGAGTAAATATCAGCTCTCAAATCATATTTAGAAAATGGTTTAATACTGTAATCATAAAGATAAGATTAAGCTTAATTAGTAATCAATCAAATATATAATCCTTTAAGTAAAAATATAAAAAATAAATTAATAAAATAATTAATAAGATTCATATTTAAATAATTTCCAATTTGTTAAAAAATAATATAATAAATGACTCTAGAATTTATACTTAATCTTGAAGATGAGCAATTATATTATTATATTCCATTAATTATGGATTAAGAATTAAATGAAAATCTAGTCTAATCTATTCTAGAAATTATTTATAAATAAGAATTTATATAGACAAATATATAAATAAATAAAAAATATGTATACAAAGTTATTTAGTATATTATTAATTTTAATTTTTTTAGCTCTTGTTTATCAAAGTATCAAAAAGAATTAAACTTAGAGTTTCCTTAAATATCAATAATGGAAATATAATATAATGATTATAAATTAAATTAGATGAAGTTATTTTTAGTATTGCTTAGATAACAAGTAAAAATATTTATTAGAATATATAGATTTTAATAAATAATGTAAAAGCAATAGAAAAATTAAACGAAATATCTTAGAGTCATCCATAAATAATTTGTGAAGTCATAAAACATAAAGATATTTAAAATAATGCATTTTTACAAAAATCAATAGTTGAAATAATTAGACAAATAAATCATAAACAAACATTAAATTATTTAATAAATTAAATTGAAGAAGAATTCATTAATGATTTAGTTAATCTTGAATTGTTATAAATAATAATTGAACATTTTAATGATAAAAAAATTGATTAACTTAAATAACTAAATTTAATTGTGAATTGGTGTAAATTACTGAACTTAAAAGTAATTGAATAATTGGCTAAAATAGAAACTAATAATATTAAAGTCTTATATACTTTAATTAATATTGTGATGAATAATTTTGAGGAAGCTAAATATAATTTAGATCTATATAATATGGGAATTAATTTATTTAAAAGATATTTAAATTATCATAAGAGAATAGTTAGATAAGCTGCTTAAGAAGCAATAAATGAATGGTATATAGTATTTTATAAAGGTTTATGATTTTAAACAAATTAATCATTGTTTTTTCTTTAATCTTGCTAATTATTACATAAGTTATTCATTTTATTAAAGCAGATGTGCAGTAATTGTAATTTATTCAATATTTGGTTTTAATGCTTCATCCTTTTCTGCTTCAAGCATAGCACATTTTTAATTCAAATTTTCTATTTATTCTTTTTATTGTTTAATTTGGTCTTATAACTATAGAATGACTGTTAAAAGATTAGATTAATCTCTATCAATAGATTCAATTCCATCTTCAAAATGATTGAATTCTTTTTATAAGTTTGTTTATCTATTCTATTTTACAGATTTCATAGGAGTAAAGTATAAACTACGAGCACTCATTGGTTATCTATGACTCTAATAACCATTTGATTTTTTAGTTGGCTTAGAAAAAAAGAAATCTGAATCTTCTTATTCTGATTTCTATTTAATAGAATTTCTTTCATAGCAATCATGTTCAATTTTCTGAACCACTTTTTCTATATTATGTTACTGTAACAAAATAGTCATAGATCTAATATTATATTAATTCATATTAAAATTAATTGAAACAATTAAAAACAATTACCTTTATTTTACATCTATTTATATATTTATACTAAATATAATATAGATATATAAGGATTATATATATTAAAGTATTTTAAATGGAAGTTTAAAGTTAAAATAAAATTTATACAAAATATCTAAAATATTTAAAAGAATTTAGTAGTTTTTATTATCATATTATTTAATATATAAAACTTAAAAGTAGACCGCCTATGATATAAATGACTATATTCTATAGTTTAATTGAATTCATGGAATATTTTAAATTTAAACGAATTAATTTAATAATTAAATGGATAAAATTGGAGTAGATTAAAATAAAGTAAAACTAAACAAAGAAGAGATTTAACATTTGTTCTTTCCAAATAAAAGAAACTTTCATATTTATGTTGAATTTTTAAAATAATGCCAAAAAAAACTAATTGTATGCATGTATTAGATTTCACATAAAATATTGGTCAATATTTTAATTGACCTTTCATTAAATGGAAGAGATATTTAAATTGTAACTAATTCTAATAATGATGATAATAAAGTAAAGTCTACACTTTTGATGATGATTTAAAGTTCTTTAGAGAAAATAAAAATAGCAGTATATGAAAAATAACTTTGTTTAATGCATTCAAAATATTGTGTTATAGATGATTAAATTATTATGACTGGTTCTGCAAATTGGACAAATAATGCATTTCGTAAAAATATTGAAAGTGTAGTTATTTTGAAAAATGAAAAAGAAGCATAGTTGTATACTTGTGAATTTGGGAAGGTGTGGAATCAATCATAAATCTTAAGATTAAAAGGATAGAATCTTGAGTTCTCTCCTTTTATTAATATGGAATCTATGAACTTTATAAAAGGAAAGAAATAAAAATGCAAATTTAATAAAATAATTGATTTAGAAAATAGTCATTTGTAGGAAGAAGATAAAGATGAAGAAGTTAAAGAGTAATCAGATGAAAGTATACAAAATTATTATAGTCAAAAATAAAAAAAGATTGATAATAATTCTAAGAGGATAAGAAAAAATAATTAATAGTCATAAAGATATAATTTATAATATAATGATTTTAATGAGGGAAATTTAATAATTTAAATAGATGCTTTGGATAAATAGAATGCAGATTAAATTGATGAAATTGAAATTATGCTATGATTAATAATTATATTAAAAAAATAAATATTTTAAATGTCAAATCAAGAAATTAATGAATTAAATAGTTTACCAGTTTTAGACTATGATATATTTGGTAAATGTAATGATATGATGGTATTTAAAAATTCAATAATTTTAGAATTTTATCAATAACACATAAAATTTAAAAAGAGATGATCAATAAATTAAACAGAAAATTGGAGCGGTAGGAAAATTAATTAATGCACTATTAAAATTTTTAAAATAATAAGATAGTTCATCACTATAAGACTAACCAGAATATTATGATATTGTTTACTTAATAAATAATAACTTATCTTAAAAAATAAAGCAATATGAAGATAAAATTAAATAGATGATTACAACTGATCAATAATCTTAAGCTGAAATTAATCGATTGAAATAAGAAATATAGAATTATGTGGATGATCAAAGAAAAAATGTAAAATAAATTGAAGAATAAAAGTAAATGGTAAAATATTAATTCATTTTAGATAAAAGCATAAAAAAATTAACTCGACCTTTTAGAAGTATTGGAATCTGAATAAATACAAGATATTTAAAATCAATATGATAACTTAGATTAACTATATAAATAATCAACTAATTAAATTAAAGGATTATAAATTGAACTAAAATAAAAGTAAGATAAAATTCATGAATAGGAAGGAAAGTTAAACTAATTATAATAATAAATCAAAAAACTCTAAACTGATTAATCTCAAGATAGAAAAGACCCAATATTTTATAATTATTAATAAATTTTACAAAGAAATTAGGAATTATAAGAAATCAATAAATAACTTTGTATACTAAAACCTATATTCTAATAAAATAATGAAGAAAAAATTGATGAAAATCTTTAAAACTAGAATGTATAAAACGAAAAATTGAATTAAGATATCAAAGAAATTTAGAATAACATCTTATATAAACTAAAAGAATTATAATATGCTTGTTTATTCTTAAGTATAGGCGTTGGATTATATTTAATAAAATAATATTAAGAGTGATCCATTATTATTATTTGAAATAAAATATATATTGTTATATTCATATATAAGTAAGTGTTGCTTTTTCTTTCATCTTAACAATAATTATTAATTACATTAAACAGCTAAATTATGTCTAATCAAATTTATATTTATTGTTTTTTCAGATTGTATAGATTATTAATTTATTTAATTATAATATAAAATTTTAAGATGGTAACTTATCATATTTATTTACAATAGCAACCAATAAATGATATTAATGTCGATGAAGTATTAAAAGGTTTATCAACTGTAGAAGGATCAAATGGTTTTGTGATATTTAATTAAGATTGTAATAAGACAAGAGTTATTATTTTTAGGTATTCCACTAAAAAGATCAGAAAAAAATATAACTTATGAAAAAGCTGTTCATATGTCTGCTTTAGTTGCTGATTTATGGAATGTTACTAAGAAATGTATTCAAAGAGAATTAAGAAGTGCTGATGTATTAATTTATTAATATCATTTAGAATGATCTTGAAATTATTAGGATAAGGACAAAAGCCTAATCTGAATATATTATTTCTTAATGTAATTTTAACACTTATTAAATGATTAGAAGGTGATTATACAATGATAGGTATATAACTATGTGGAAAAGCAATTGAAGAAGCTAAATTAGCTGCAGCTGCTGAGGCTTAGGCTGCTGCTGAAGCAGATAAGGCAAAAAAAGGTGATAAGGAATAAAGTTGATTTCAGCAATTAATTATAAAATAAGTATATTTATAATAAATGGCATTTGACAAAGCAATTGTGACAAAATTTACAACTCTTGCAGTCGCAGCAATAACAATAGGAGTAGCAGTTTGGGGATTTTTCTCTGAATTATCAGTCAATAATGGATTTAATTGTTTCAATTTGGTGTAATATTATAATCTCAAAAATATTAAGGATACTATCAATGGTTTTATTGCCATCTGAATTTTAAGTAAAATGGATACAAGATGGATTTGGATTAATAGATAATTTATTTGGCAGAGGTCTTTATATATTCTTGTAATGTAAATGACTAATTCTAGTATTGGATCATGGGTCTTTGGTTTACATTCTAGATATGGTGAAGATGGAATTAGAACATATGCCTTTGTTGTAGGAATTATAGATTTATGTGTTGGCGTACTTTATGTGATATTTTATTTTACAGTATTTATCCATTCTATATTAACAAGTTTGGAGAGTCAGTATAATCAAAATGAATTAGAATATTTCATTTTATATAATATTAATCATTTCATTTTCAAATACTTAAACAATCTTTAAATTATAGATTATTTTAAAGATTATATTATTATTCACAATCTTTTATATTTTTTAATAAAATGTTGTAATAAACATATATTATAAAATCAATTATATTTTGTTTATCTAAATCTTGTTTTAATCAAAGTCAATACATATATACTAAAATATAGAATCTAAGTCATGCTATTTTCTTTAATATCAATGCTGCAAGATATAATTAATCCAATTAATATACGTGTGAATTTATTTTTCATTCCAAAGATAATATAGTATATTAATAAACTTTAAATAATGTAAATCATCAAAATAGACTTTTACATCATAAAGATTCCAATCATTAAAGATGTTATAAGAGATCCTTTTTCAGTAATAATAAACTATAGAATAGGTAATAATATTGATAATTTGCATAAAAAACCACTACTAGTTAGTAAATAGTATATAAATATTATTCCTGGAATTATTGAAGCAATTTATGCATGTTTTAGATTATATTAAAAATATATTCCAGATTTCCATGACAATTAAATTAATAAATAAATAGAGATTATCAATCCTATAAAATTAAGGAAACTAGATAATTTCATAATTAACATAATTGAAAATGGAAATACAATTACAAATGCAATAATACTTAATCTAATGATCATACTTAAAATAAAATTTAAAATAGCATTGCTTGTTAATAAATTAGGTAAAAATCCAAATTACATACTAGTTTGAATAGGTTTTAAAATCAATGAACATTTAATATTTTTTATGGCTATTGTAAACATAATAGTTTACCTGGTATAAAAGAAGATAAAATAGCTAGTATTTTATTAAGTGTTGATATCTAAGAGCAATATTCATCCAAGTAATAATGTAGAATGTACAAAACAAATAAGTCTAATAATGCAAATAGTAATGTAAATATATTTTATAACATTAATTATTAATATTATATACATATTACAATCTCATTTAATCTAATTATCTAATGTTTAAGATATGAGTATATATATATATTTTCAAATATTTTATTATTAAGAAATCTTATTCATATTAATCTATTTAATATAAAATATAGTAGAAACAAGATATATACATAAAATAATACTTATTTTATTAATAATGATTAGAGATCTAAAGATTTAATTATCTCTAAATTTAGTATGTATAATTAAATTATTAAGAAAATATTCTCGAATATATGAAAAGAAAGGTAAGGGAATATGATGAAAATGAATTCTCTAAAGCTGATTTGAAAATCATTCTTCTTGGTGATTCAGCAGTTGGAAAATCGAAATTAGTTGAGAGATTCCTATTAGATGATTATGAAGAAAGATAATAATCTACATATGCATTAACAATGTATAGACATAATGCAAAATTTGAAGGGAAAACCTATAAAATTGGTATTAAATATAAGTTAATAAATATAGACTTATGGGATACTGCTGGATAAGAATGTTTCTAGACTCTTCATGCTTCATATTATTATGGTGCTCATGCTTGTATTTTAGTAAATTGTATATTTTCATAAGTGTTTTGATGTAACAAGAAAAATTACTTATACAAATTTAAAGAAATGGTATGAAGAGATGAGATAAAATTGTCCTACAATACCTTGTTTATTGGTTGCCAATAAAATAGATTGTATATTAAAATATCAAATATTTAGTGGATCCTAGTGTCACTGAGACTAAATTTAAGTTTGCAGAGAGTAACAATCTTCCTATATATTACACATCTTCAGCAGATGGAACAAATGTAGTTAAGGTATTTTAGGAGGCATTGAAAGCAGCAATTGAACATAAACAAAAACCTGGTGGATAGTTTATGGATGATTTGATGGATTATTTGTAGGGTTGAAAGGACATTTATGATATATAATGATTCATTCATTATCAAATTCATCATCTGTTTCACAATCATCGCAATCACTGTATGCAAAATCTAATTTCTTATCATAATTTAGTTGATGGTCAATCAGTACCGTTTAAACATGTTATTATACAAACTCAAATTATTCATCCATATTATAGTTATATATATCTCCATCTACAATCATATCTTCAAAATCGAATTATTATTCTTATTATTATTATTATTGCTACACTTCATTCTCTTCTTCCATATATTCAGTATTTATATTTTTTTCTTCATCTGAAAAAATCTCTGATTACATTTGTTATTGCTATTATTAAAGTTTTAAGAAACTTCGTAAATAGCCCATCTTTTTATCTCCCACTTCATTTAAGTCAATGAATTATTCAGCTTTTCTAAATGATAACTAATTTTTATTTACTTTAATAACTAATGATAATCTTCTAAAGTCTTTTTAGGTACACCAACTTTTTCTGCTGCTTATTTCAGACTATATTTAATTTTGTGTCCATTTTAATCTATTTCACCGTTCTTGAATAAATTTCGCCACTCATCAACACTTTATTTAGCATCAATTATAGAACGCTCTTTTACTCTTTTGAATACATGTCTTGGTTAATCCATAGATTGTAAAATGAAAATATATATTTAATTAATAATTCATTCTTTTTTCTCATAAAATGTCAATTTAAGTATACTTATAATTTTGATTTAGAGGCCTATTTTATAATGAGATAATTAGAAAGTTGTTTTCTAATCATGTCTAGATTATCTTTAAAAATATTAATATTTGAATTTTGGAAGTAATTCTATCACCTTATATATATTAGAAAAATTCATAATCTTTATTTGACAAATCAAACTAACCATTCATTTTTTTATCATATAATAATACAATATTTGCGGCAAATTTTTCAATTAATTATAATATTATAAAAATATGTCTAAATTCAATCAGATATTACTACTCTAAAATCAATAAAGTTGTTAAATTTTTATATATTATTAATACAATTTAATAATCTTTGATATGTCTCATTTATAACATATATATGTATATTTCGTCCATTAAATTTTGAATTTTTATTAGAGATAGAATATAAGAATTAAATTAATGAAATAAACATTAAGTTATTATTATTTTCTATATAGTATAGTGAAATTAATAGAATTTTATAAAGATTATATTGTTTTAACTTTTAGTAAATTTATATTCATGACGAAGAGAAAACAATTTTAATATAAATCTGTATATTTTTGATCAAAAAATAGAATTTAATGAAAAAGAAAGAATGGAAATACAGTTATTCTATCAATGGTAAAGGTAGGATTACAATGTCCAGATATTTTGATACATTAAGATATAAGAGAAAATTTATGTACATTTCCAATATTATATTGACATTTTTATATAGAAATATATAATAAATGTTAGATAATCTGATAGGTAAGAGAAGATTATCTAATAATTGTAACATCTATTATTCAAAATTATAGTTGTAAATTCTATATTTAAAATTGTTTATCCAAATGATATTATTATCTTAATTAAAAAATATAACTGCTAGAATATATTTGCTTTAGATAGGAAATTCAATTTCTATTTAGATATTTTCATATATATAATGAATTTAAGATAGAGTTTATTATCCTAAGAATGTTTGACATTAATTTGACGATAGGTTTAATTTGAATTATTTACAGATAGTTAATTATATTTGAGTATAAAAGGTGAATATATTTAGGAATATTACAATTTGCTGTTTTATTTATGCTTTTGTTTCAGTGAATTTATATTAATATTGAATTTATTTATGAAATTTAGTGTACCTTTATCCCATTCTCCTTCTAACTTCTCAAAACAACTTATTTAATAACAAAGATAATTGTGCTTATTGAAAGTACGCAAGTAACTATAAAATTTGAATGATCCATTTGACTCTACTGAAATATCTAGAGCTCTTAGAAATCTAGAAACTTAGTAATAGAGAAAACAACTCTTAGATTCAATTATTAAAATGAGAGAAACAAAAAGAACATAAGAAGAATAATAAAAATAAGAATAGTTACAAAGATTATGGGTTAAAGCCAATTAAACAAATAGCAAAAAATTAAATACAAATTATGTTTATCATAGAGATTTAGAAGATTTTGAGTCAATAAAATAATCCAGATATCGTTTTGAATCTGAAAGGATTGAAAATTTTTATTTAAGAAATGAAGGCAAACATCATAATTTCCATAGAGTTAGTAGTTTAGCCTGTTTAACAACTGATTTAGAGAAAAAAAAGAAATTGATTCCATTAATCACTAGAAAAGATAGAAAAAATTTTACGATAGTGAATTGATTGTTTATTTTATTTGATTTTTGTGTTTAAATTAAAATGGAAGTGTTATAACTAGAAGACAATCAATTTAGATATAAACTCATGAATGTATTCTTTCAATATATAAAAAATGCCTTATTCATTCTATTAATTGGATATGAAGGAATTAAATTATTAAATATTGATCATGATTGTTAATTATCAGAGATTACTTATATTAGTACATTATATCATGGAGGAATCATTTTATTACTATTTAATGTAGTTTCAGCCTGTTATATACTTTATTAAAAGCATTTTGTAAGAATTGAATACTTTATTACTTATGGATTAAATATTTTAGTTTTTGTATGTATGTTACTATTTTCATTGTAATAAATGATTTAGGGAAGATGCAGTATTGGATAATTATCAGTAAAATATTATATAATAATATCAATAATCACTTAATTAGATGTATTATTAATTATGATGTTCAAACATGAATTCTCTAATAGATAAACAAATATATGTTCAAATACTGCTGTTGTGATTCTTTTATTAATGACTAAAATAGATAATGATTGTGCAATCAATGCAATATCTTTAGAAATTCAATTAATCTCTGCTAATATTTTAACATTACTCTTTTTCACTGTTCTTAACGTAGCAATTAATCTATTTCCTAAACTAAGAGAATAATTAACAAATGCATTTAAATTTGTTTGTGTTTTAGTTTTGTGTTTCCTTATCTTAAATTATCTATTAATTGTTTATTTTGTTTAATCAGTAATTTATTCATTTTATATATATATTAGGGTGATATCAAAGAAAGTTAATAATGTATGCCACTTGATTTTATAACTAGAACCTATTGTTTTTTGGCTCCTGTCAACTTAATTGGAATGATACCAATATTAGCATCTTTTAAATTTGAAACTATAGATGAAGAAGAAGAGGATATTCCTTAATAATAATAATAATTACCAGAAATCATATCTCCATCAAGAGGATTACCAATATAGAATTCACCCTCCCCTTTCTAATAATCTAAGTTATCATTAAACAATAATACAACTCCATATAAGATTATTATAAACAATAATCAACTTTCACCTGATGAACAATTTTTAGTTGGAAAACATCAGTAACCTTAATATTGATTTAATACATACTATAATATATCTAATGAGATAAATAATTAAAATTATATTCATTTCAATTTTAATATAATAAGACAAATCATTCCATTCTATAATCTATCAAATTTCTTAAAAAGTAATTTTGTTTCTGATATCACAATTATTTAATCATAACATATATTTATTCCTTAAAAGCTCTTTTTTTAATTCTCTTAATTTATATAATTAATTCATTAAAAAATTAATTTTTTTATGGTTCAGGTAATTTAAATATCAATATATTGATATATTAGAAATTATAGAAGCATCAATCCTAATTCTTTGAGTGACTATTGATTTTTGATTCTCTAACGGAAATTAAAAACTGTTGAATTTCTTGACTTTTATGTCTAAATTCTTAGAAACCTTAAAATAAGAATCGATCAACTAAAAATAAAATTATAATAAATTAAAACCAAATGAAAACAGATTTACTTTTAGTTCTTCAATCGAATAGAAAATTTAAATATTCTAAATGTGTAATTATTCTAAATTACTCCAAAATAAATGGAAAAGTTCTTTAGTGAAGGTTCTATAAATTTGTTTTATTGGTTAAAAAACTGATAATGAGGATTATATTCTAAGAAAATGATAATGGTCATTCATAGTATGATAGTTGAGTTTATTAATAATAAGATGGATGGTTAATGTTAATTATAATATGGATTAGGAGATTATTAATAATAAAGAGGTAGATGTGATTAATAATCATTATCATCTCAAGGATATTGGTAATAACTTGGCTCTGGTTTCTTGAAAGCATAACATGAATAGAGATTTTTTAATACATTATAACTGATAAATATTTTAATATAAAACATAATTGATGGTGACTTTTAATTTAAATCTTTTTTTTAGATAAAAATTAAATGAAGGTATTAGAATAACTTATATAAAGATCTACGTTGATGCATTCAGTGGAGAAGAAATCGTTTCTGACAGTTTCAATATGGAAGAAAAATTTGAAGGAGTTATTGGTGAAGTATAATCTCAAGATATTGTCAAAGGTGCTCTCAATGTAGATGTTGGTAAAATATTGTAATATTCTATTTTTAGGTGCTGGAGGTCATTTTGGTGGTAAGAACGAAGATGAAGAAGATGCAGGTGTAGAGGATCAAGCCTAAAAAGTTAATAACATCATTGATGCTTTTAAATATGCTGAAACCTAATTCACAAAAGCTGATTATGTTACTTATTTCAAAACTTATGCCAAAAAAGTTAAGGCTTATTTAGAAGCAAATAAACCAAACAGAGTTGCTCCATTTTAAAAGGGAGCTGGCGAATTTATTAAATGGGTTTCTGCTAATTTCAATGATCTTCAATTGTAAACTGTAGAAATCTATTGTTTAGCTACTGTCCTGAATCATATGATATGGAAAATCACATAGTTCTTGGTTATTACAAAGAAGGATAAGCTGCCCCAGCTTTTGTATACATTTTAGATGGATTAAAAGAAGTCAAGATGTGAAATAAAATAAAAAATAATTGTATCTGTAAATATGATATTGATTTTTCATATATTGTGGTTATCTTCATTTGATATTAATGCAAATTATTATCATATTATACTACTCTATTTTAATATTTTCAAGCAATCTTTTAATTATCCATCCATATGAAGATTTAGAAAAAGAATATATTTATTAAATTAATCAACTGATATTAAATAAGGAAATCTTTATGAAATAATTTGATAAAATAGAAACATTATATATAATCTTAATTGTCATTTGATTATATTTTCATATAATAAGTATTAAAATATATGATAAAGAATCTAAAACAAATTAATAAATCACAATTTGACCCATTTAGCTAAAATGAATAATAAAGCATCAATCATTATAGGTTTTTATAAACAATCATGAAATGGTAACTTTTTTATTGCTACTTTACTATCTTCATCTTAAAATCCAATCAATCCTATAAGTCTTGTATCTTTTTAATATTCTTATAGTACAGCCTTAATGTTAGCACAATCTGTACTAAATTATTCATTTACAAACTCAACTCCAAGAAAAATTATATGATATCCCTTACAACAAGTTTTAAATTATGAAAATTGTTTCTTTAATTAATCTACAATATGCATTCTCTACATTGTATATATGTAAGGTATTTTTAGATTACTTAATTAATGGGATATAGCATATAAATCAAAATCATTCTATTCACAAATTAATATCTTTGGACACTAAATAAAATTGAATTAATATTATTACTTGACATTTATATATAAATTACTATTATTTTATTCTTTCCATCTTTTCAAAACAATCTAATAATTCATTTGGACCTAAATTTACTGAAGAAATTCTCATTGAAGAATATACAGATGATCGTCCTCCAAAGGTAAGTAATGAATCTCTTTATTTAGATTTAAGTTATTAAGATACTTAAGGACTTAGTCTTGATTAGATAAAATTAACTGAAACCTTTCTTGCTTTTGGTTCTTTAACACGAATGATAGTATCAAGAAATTAAGAAGGTTTTTATTGTTTATCTATTTTCTCTATTTTATCGTTTATTTAAAGACTTGATTTGCTAGATTATATATCACCATCACATTCAGCTTTATTCATTTCATCCTTTGAATCTGATGATGAACTTTGTTATGAATCGTCCTATTCTGAGATTTAAGATACAGAGTAAGATTTACAAGGTTATTAATTATCAGATAATTCTGATTATCCAAATTATGGTATTTAAGTATCCATTTTACCTGATATAGTTTCTTCTTAAGATTCTCTTTTCATTTTTTTAAGTTTCTCTTACACTTAAATTCTACTAATTTCTGTTAATCTTTATGATTAATGTCTTTTAAATTAGCTACTTTAACCAAAATTTTAATGAAATTAAGATTTATTTGCAATTAATGCAGATTATCTTTTTTATGTTAATTGCTTATTGAAATTTGGATTCTCATTTTTTATTAATAAAATAAAATAAAATTATGTACCCTCTTCTGTCCTTATTGAATTAAATTCAAAAGGCATAATAGCAACAGCCATAGAAATATAAAATGCTGTAAGAATAGAAAAAGAATATTATTTTGATGTTGCAACAATATCTGTCACTTATTTACTAACTAAAGTCTATTATTTTAAATGTTTGATGGTTTGTTCAATGTTATCTAAAATTCCTTCATTTATATTAATAGCCATAACTTTTATTATAATTTCTATATGATCTGCTAATAATGGAGATTTTTAACATGAAATTTCAATGCTACCATTGACAGTGACTTAAATTGATTTTACTATATTTTATGAATAGACAAATTATTACTTAACAAACTTAACACAACTTATCTAACTCTATTTGGATCAGTTCTTAAAAACATTGGAACATTCTATTTAATATGTACTTATATATTAAGTCCTCTAAATAAAGCTTAAGCTTTTATTATGTTTAAACAATCTGAAACGAATTCTCGAGTATGGATATCCATTAAATTTTTATCTAATTTATTTTTTTTATGCATTGTGACATAATCCTATATATCATTTGCTGTACTAATTAATAGTTTACAACCTGCCAATGCTGGATCAATATATTTAGTTTATAAATCTTGACTAACTTCTTTCTATAATTATATTGAAAGATATTATATTACTTAGACTAATTCCAACATTGACAATGTACAATTTAAAGGTTCTTTGATTTTCTATGAAATTGTTTGTATAATATCATCACTATTTTTTAAATATTATTAGAGTTATAGAATAAATGGTTCTTCAGTTAAATCATTAATATATAATAGAATTTAAGGTTTATTTGAAATTACAACAGGGTTCAAAATAACTTGAGTGTAAAGTTTATCTAATTATATTTATAGGGGAATTACCTTTTTTCATATAAATTTTTAATGAAAAATCTAATGCAAAATTTGTTAAATTATATTTTATATGTGAAAATGCAAGCAGATGTTCTATTAATGTTTGCATTTACATTTTCCTACAAAAAAATTATATTTCTTTCTTTTCTTCAGGTTCGACATTATCAAATTATATGTTCTAAGTTCAAATATATTAATATATTAATACTCAAGAGTTTATGTAAATTTAATAAAGTTACTGATGTCTTTACTTCTATGAAAACTAGGCAATATGATACATGATTCTTCAGATAGTAAACCAAAATCATATAATTCCAATTGAGTCAAGTCTGGATTTAATTAATCATTGATCAAAACAATATGGGACATGAATGAATTTATTATTTTTATTGGTTATTAAGGATTTTCAAAAATGTAGATTCCACATTAAAAATTGATCAATAATAATTCATACTACTATTCTAATTGTTTTAAATTGATTAGATTTTCATAATCATCATCTGCCAGATCTTATATAATATTTTTTTTATTTTATTGTTCTGTCATCTCTCTCTAAGTATTTATATTAAGTGCCCTTTATGTAAGCAAAGGACTTAAGTTTCTAGATAAATAGGTTTCACTAGTATTTTAAGTTTGATTTAAGTTATAAATCAATAAAGATTAGATTAGAATATGTCCAAAAATGACTCTGATTGATCCTATTATTTATATATTATCAGTAAATGAAGGGAATCTATAGTTAATGTTTTTATTATACCTAAAAAGAGAATAAAATAATGAAAACAAAATGATAAGACTTTTAAAGAGTTATGACTCAATTGCAATTAGAAACAATATCATAATTCCATAAATTTCAAATGCATAACTTCTTTGATCATATTCATTAGTATAAATTAAGTCATAATTTGTTTCACACCATAAAATTATTAGACTGAAATATTTCAACAATGTAATTATATTTATTAAAAAAGCAGTTTCTTTCTTTAATTTACTCATTGCTATATGAAAAACAATTATCAAAAATACTTAGATCTAAAAAAAAGTGTGTTATTTTAATTACCATAATGCGATATATGAAAACAAGTTTTTAACCTTCTATTTCATAATTTAGAGCTTGGGCTATGGTTAGAACAATGTCAAAACATTAATATGAGGATACGATGGTCATTGTTGATTTCCATAAAATAAAATGCTAATATGTCTCTGGATTTAACTTAAAGTAATTTGATAGCATTGGCATTTATTACTATATAAAATTATTTATTAATTTAACAATCACAATTTCACCCACTTTGCTAATATAAACAATAAAGCATCTATCATCAATGGTTTTGATAGAAAATCATGAAATGGTAACTTCTTTATTGCAATTCTATTCTCATCATCCTGAAATCCTATTAATCCTATAATTCTTGCTTCTTTTTTAAATTAAGAGTTAATGTTTTTGATTAAATTACATTGTTCACTTAATTCTTCATCTACAAACTCTACACTAATAAATATTAACTAATATCCTTTGCAACAAGACTTTTCTATCTCATAAGCTGTTTTTAATTTTTCATGTATTTAAGATCTCTACATTGTATAATCAAAATTCATCCCAATATTCCCAAGTTAATGAGATACAGCATATAAATCAAAATCATTCTATTCACAAATCAGAATTTTTGGACACTTTATATAAATAATAAATATTTACTTAGCATTTTTAATTATACTTTTATTATTTAATTTTTTCCATCTTTTCAAAACAGTCAATTAAATCATTTGGTTACATAATGCTGGCCGAATATCTCATTGATGAGAATATACTTGATCTTCCTCCAAAAGTTAATACTGAGTCTCTTTTGCTGGCTGTAAGATTATTATTGTAAGTATAATTGATTGATTATTACATTATAACCAAAGGAGAATCCTTTTCATCAATTTTTCCAGACTCATTATATAAAAATTTATCTAATTGAACTCCAACATCTAAACTATTATGGGAACTCTCATTTTCACCTTTAGATTCTTTAGAGTTTTATTCTGATACTATAGATATATCTGATTTAGAATGAGAAATCATTTATTTAATCTTTTTACTTTGATCTTAAGATTTTATTGTCTTAAAAGTAGGTAGAAAATCAACATCAATATCACCTTATGATGTTCTTGGTACAATGAAACGAGATTAATTTTATTATCCAAAAGATGTTGATAATTTAATTCCAGAATCTTTTCTTTAGGATTATGTAGCTAATATTTAGGATTATGATTGTAATTTTTATTACTATAATGCTTATTATTTAAATTTCTATTTTTCAAACGTTCCTTGTAATGCTATGATAGCTTTATCAAATAGACTTTATCGTGATGATTAATGTCTTTTAAATCCTTGATCAATTTAATAAGATTATTTAAAATTTAATTGTTGAATGCTAAGAGCAGATTATCGTTTAAAATTTAATTGTTATGAAAAGTTTGGATTTTTGTTTTATATTTAAATAATGAAACAAAACTCTTCATGATCTAAATTTTTTTCATAATGATATTCAAATGGAATAGTTGAAATACTAAGAGATAAACAAAATGCTATCAAAATTGATTGACTATATTTTCGACCTGCATTTGCTAAATCTATCATTGTGGATGTTAACAAATTTTAAGATTTAAAAAATCTTACTGTTTTATCAATTGTTTTTAATACAGATTAATTCATTTCTAATGCATGAACTTTAATAACTAATTCAATATGATCTTATATCAAAGTTGATTTACTTGCTGATACTACAATAGTTCCATTTATTGTTGCTTATATTGAACTTACTAATAAATTTAATAAGATTTATCTCAATCTATTAGGATCTGTTCTAAAAAATGCAGGTACATTATGCCGAACATTAACTTAGATCTATAATCCTCTAAATAATGCCTATTATTTTATTATATTTATTGAATCAGTTATAAATTCTCTAAATTATTTTTATGATATATAGATTACCTTACATGAACATCCATTTGACAAAGTTCTAATTTTCCTTTCTTCCTTATTGTAACATAGTCTAAAATATCATTAGCTGTGCTGATTAATAATTTACAACCTGCAAGAGCTGGATTTAAGAACTTTTCTTAAATTTCAAATGGAACAGAATGCTATATTTCAATATTATAAATACAATTGTAATTTCTAACATTGATATTGTACAATTCAGTGGTTACTTAATTTTCTATGATATATCAGAAACTAATAAATCACTATTCTAATTAAATTAATTCAATTATGTCATGAATGGTTCATCTGTAAGATCTGATACAAATAAAATTAATTAAGGTTTATGTCTTTATAATATTGGGGATAATACAACACAAGTATATAGATTATCTAAATTAAGATTAAATTACCTTATTTAAGATAAATTTTAAGTGAGAAATCTATTAAATTTTAACATTAATTAAATTTAAAATGTTAAAAGGGTAGTAAATGTTCAATCAAAGTTTTAATTTTCATAGATTTATGAAAAAATTAAACTTCTTTTAATCCAATATTTCCATTTTCATAATTTATACTCTAAGCACAATAATAATAATAAAAATACTTACTCAAGAGTTTACATGAATTTGATAAAATTTCCTATGTCTTTACTTCTATGAAATTTAGGTAATACTGTTAAATTATCTTCAAAAGCAATTCCAAAATCAAATATCTCAGAATTCAAAAATTCATCACTTAATTGATCATCTTTTAGTACTAAATGTGACATATATGGATTAATAGATTTAACTGGAGTCTATAAGTTATCTAGAACAAATATTCCTATTTATATATTATTTAAGACATTTTCATAAAATTAGTCTAAGTTTTACCTTTCAGTATCTAATCTGTTTTCTTCAGATACAATAACTTCATTTTCTTTAAATTATTATGTTAATCCTTTTTTGATTTCATAATCTTATTAATTTAGGTAAGTAGAAAGCCTCCATTATTAATTTGGTAAAGATTATCTATTACTTTATATTGGAACATAATTTTTAGACTATTAACCCAACATTACTAATTAATTGTTTAATTTCTTTTTCTTTTATGGTAATTACAACAAAAATATTTAAAATGCTATGTGTATTAATACTATCCTAATTGAAGAAAGAATATCAATTTTATTTTAGAATAGCTATATTCTATATATTAGTATAAATTATATTTACCGAAAAAGAGAGTAGAATAACGAAAATAATAGAGATATTGTTTAGCATATTTAAGATTCTTGTAATAGCACCAATCCTAGCAATAAGGTTTAAATTTCAGCTGTATAACTAGAATAGGGTTTCTTCAATTCATAAAATAAATAATAGTCAGTTTCAGTCCAGCAAATAGAAAGTGAAATAAAATATATAAATGTAGCAACATTTAGAAATCCATTTCTAAATTTTCTTAAACAATTAAAAATCAACCAAAATAATATCAATAACACAGCTTGAACCTATAAATATATAAATTAATTTATACAATAATTCTCACTATCAACATTATTCTTGTACCATCCATCTTCTAAGTACTTGCATCAACAATTGTGATTATCATATCAAAAAGTTAGTAAATAGATATAATATTTATTACTTTGGTATGCTGATAAATGTTTGTATAAGGCTATGAGTAGATGTAAAAATAACCCTTAAGATTATTTATCATAAGATTAAGAGATTTATATAAATTATTATAATTGATGTGTAATAATATAATAACAGAAGATGAAAATAAATCAATAAGCAATAATATATTCTAAACATAATAATATATGACATTAAAACACATATTTTATGAATATTATTTTATTAAGAATATATTTAAGAACTATTTTATATATATTTTTACTAATAAAACGTTTTACTAATTGGAAAATTATACAATGAATTATTAAAATGAATTTTATATATTTAACATATTGAAAATAAATATATAATTATTATTATTGATATTTAAGTTATTATTCAATAAAAATAATAATTGCATCTTAATCAAAATTAAATTTTTGACTATGA